CAGCTGGGTCTCATGTCATACTAGCTAAGATTGTCTGAAATCAGGCTAACTAATGTCTAAATCATATGGTAAGTATAGAGGGCAGGCCAAGGCTTTGTTCACATCTAACAAGAGGCACTGATCACATATAATGCTTGGGGCAGAGTGACTTACATGTGCAGACTCGATTTTGTTGTGGTACAAGTGTTTCTTCCACTTGATGCTGAGGAAATCGTGGAAGACGAAAACAAATAAATTTCCAGGATTTCCTGCAGCTTTATGTGTGTAATATTGACCTAAGATGTATTGATAACAGTTAATAGGCAAAACATGGAAGAATTTCTGAGATCATAAATCCCCAGAAATTGTCAGATCTAACAGGCTTAGGGTTTCTGATTGGAACAATGCTAGGAAATATTGTGAGCTGTTCTAGCATGAAATCAGGTTTGATATACGAGACAGGGACTTTTCAGGAAAAATTTGACTTTGGCAAAATTCTGGAGGTGTTTGACTTTCCAGGCCTGTACCTCTGTCATCAGTTGTAATATCCCAGCATAAAAAAAAGCAGCATTAGGAAGTGGAAATGGCAGACCTGGAGGGGAATGGTTACTGATGATGGAGGAATCACTCCCCATTATCACCCAAAGCCTCCAGAATACATGCACTCGGAGCATGTCAGCTTTTTTATTCAAATGTACTTAAGAATTACAGCAGAGACTGGAGTTCTTATCATGTAACATTTACCAAGTTAATGTCACCTAGAAATAATGGTTATACACAGCATATCTAGCTTGCTGCTGAGTTTATTATGTTTCATTAAGTATATCCCTGGTAAATGCATTATTTCTGCATCAGTTAGCCCAAGAAAAGCATGATAGTTAATTTACTTAACACTTTTCAAATATACATTGGTATTCTGTTTGTAGTGAATTCACTGATCATTTGCTGTGGGGACTTGAGATATGTCTTGAATGCTAAGGTTCCATTGAGCTGAATGTACTTCTAAGGCTTATAGGAAATGCTGGTAAATGGAGCCCCTTCTATAACAAATGATTGCTCAATTTTCCAGCAGCTAAAGTGTGGCACACATTGATTTTAGAGCTCATTAAGCTGGGATATAGGTACAATATAGTAGCTCTATTGATAGGTGGTCTCCAAGCAGGGGGAAGAGAAAATCTCCGATCAGACGGCATTTGTAGATACTTATAATGCAGAGGTCTGGAATCCAGGGCTCTTTTATGTTCTTTTTGTTGCAAGATGTGGTATCTTTATGTTGTTAAAATGCTTCATTATCTGCGCAATACTTTGTGAATTTTTTTTTATGGCACTGAATTAAAGATTGCTAAAGCAGTATAGAATTTTCAAATAGATGCATTAGATTTATCTGTGTGTTTTCACAGTTTGTAGTCAGACTCAATTATCGTGATGTTCACAAAAGCTTCAGAATTGATTATGAAATCTTTTCATCTCGTTTGAAAAATAACAAATAAAATGGTTTGAGCTATTCCTTTTCATAAATAAGCAGTGGTAATCATGGATAATGAGAAATTCAGGTTTCACGTCAGTACTCATTAACCTTGAATCAGAAGAGTTAAGCAAACCATTGGAAGTTCATTATGGTGAAGGCTATCTTTGATGGGTATTTCTTAATTTTGCTTCTGTAAACATATTTCATACATCTCGAGATCATGTTAAATACAATCCCCCCACATCTGTAACCAGTCAGGGCTGTCCTTGTTCCTGTCATGTAATATCTTTGTCATCTCCGAGGTCTGTCGTGTTGTGATGACTATCGGGGAACAGACAGGGGAGGATAACTCCTCCAGACAAGGCCCTGATCTGTGTCGTGACTGATCTCTGAGATAATTCTGGCCATTGCACTGCTTTCTGCAGAAGTGGAGTTTGTATAACATATGTTGTGTGTTTATTCAATCTCCCTGAGAAAATTTCCCTCAATGAAGAAGGATACCCCCAGAGAAAAACAGAAAATGTCCAGGGAGGTTAGATGTGAAATTGACAGTCAAGTGTAATAAACAGATCTGCAGGCAGTATAAACTGATGATCCATGATATTAAAATATCATTGAAAAAATCTTTATACCCAACAATCACAAAATACGGCTATTCATTTGAAAAAAAATTATAATGTAGACTCAAAATTTTGTAAATGAATAAAATTATAACGTAGACTCAAAATTTTGTAAACTTTAAAAATCTCCTAGTACAGATTACCTCAGTTTGGTATAGGTTCTTATGTTATAGAAATCAAACTTGTTCAGAAAAAAGCCAAGTAATTATTTGTAGAACAAACTAAACCTTTCTTCAACTGGAAAATCATTTTTCTAGAATGAAAGTCTTGGCTTGACATCATTGACATGTTCTGAGAAGCGTTTGCTAAACCACTGGAATTGAAATAAAGTAGAATCCTGATAGATAAGTAAATGGATTGCTCTCTCATTGATTTTTTTCTTGCCTTGGAGCAGTGAGATTACTTCTGAAGAAATGATGTACTTCATGATAGAAATGAGACAGAGCTCTGACAAGCATAGCAGACAAAAACAGGCAAAGTGATGGAGCAACAGAAAATGTAAATACTGTTTCCCTGTTACAGCCCACAAACAGCATTTGCACATTTTCTCTGGCAAACCTCTAAACCCAGTGATGGACAGTGATGAAAATAAAAGTTGATTGAATCCCAGTTTTGCAGGGTATTGTTCTGGCATCTCTAAAATTATTATCCTCCAGAGGTAATTGGAACAGAACAGGAAAATGATTGACTGGTCCATGTCAAATACAGGGTCCTATGGGATGTCTGATGTTACCAAACCTGAATTCATTGTACACCACTGAACGTCCACTTCCACGTGATGAGATGTCCCAGGGGTTTGGATTGGTCAATAATTTGTCACTTTGAGTTAGCAAGTAGCTTGTAAACCATGTAGCATAAATGAATCATAAACTACTGGAAAAAAGAGTTTTTCCTTGATCTGGTTGAAACTGAAACAGCCAATATCTTATGTTTGAGAAAGTTATGACACATAGGGAGATAAATGGCCACAGAGCATGTGTATTTATAAACATTCTCTTGTATGTTTTCATCATTAAATTATGTCTAGCCATTTATCACTGGCTTGTTGTCATAACATCTATAATTCCAATATTTCTCCAGTTTAGCAGACTTTTAGCATCACTCAATTCCTCTGCTGGACAAATGGCTACAGGGCAATTTGATTTCCTCTGCTCTTCCAAACAAACACAACCTTTAAAGTCAGGTTCATTTAATGACCAAAGATAGAACCCATATGGACCAGCCAAGATCAGAGACCACGGAAACCAGTGATGGATGAAGCCTCCGCTAAATTTATAAACAAGAAAGTGTTTTCCTGTAAATACTAGTTATAATGCAGACCTGCATTAATAATAGACTGGCAGTTGGTCAGTTTGAGCATTGTGGGGTAAGACAGTACCACACACACTGTGTGGGCTGAAGTCGTTTGATGAGGGGAGTTCATTAGAGGAGTGTGTCACTATAATTAATTACGAGGCTGACACTAATTCAGGGCAGAGGTACAGTCCAATACCATGCTTGTTAAAGATCATTCAGCATGTGAGCATGGTCTATGATTTAGTGGGATTCTACAATCAAGGAAAATAAGTCTCTTTGTTAGTGATGTTATATTGCTAGTCCAGGTTGGTTCATCTTTTCTTGTTTTGCTGCTTATATTATCTGAAATTTAGAGATGATGAAAACAATATTGGAAATTTTTCTTTGGAAGATTTTGCCTTTAATTTCAAACAAAAGCCAGTTTTATAGATGAAGTATTATAATAAATTTCAAAGCGAGATAGAGGTGAAAGGGGGGAGGTACCTTTGCAGTGCTCTGAAGTAGATTATGGTTGTAATGTTAGACTACTAGGAATGCTATGAATTATAGAAGTTATAGAACAGATGAAAAGACAAAATTGGAAGCATAATTCAAATAATTCAATTGGTTGGTATAATTTCACTGTTTTTAATAAATTCATGAATTCCGGGAAGGGAGTGGTGGTGCAGGAAATGACCTTTAATGTCCAATTGCAGCATTGACTTTGAAAACTTTAATATCTCTTTGTAGTTTACTTTGTGAAGTATGTGCTGACAAGAAGTTATAATCAATTTGATGGACTTGGCCTTCATATGTAGAAGACATACTTTGTAGAAGGCCACAGGGAATTTAGCAATTTTATCGTGAAAGGCAAAGTGATTGTATTTCATGTAATCTAGTATGTGGATATTGATTGGTCAGTCATGGAGCTATGTAAATTGGTCTCCTTTTTTCAACCAGTATTTTTTTTTTGCTTCGATACAAATGTTCCAATGGAACATATATGTCTAACCAGTGTTTGTTATAATTGAATCGTACATGGACAAAACTTGTGTGTAGGCCCCAATCTGCCTCTCTGTATTGTTGAACGTATTGACTGAAGCCTGGTTAAACCAGAAAGTAGAGCTGATGGAAAAGCATTGATCAATTATAGTAATGAATTTGTACTTCAACTCCAAATCAAGGATCGGGGAGAATTGGTCAGAGAAATTAACGCTTGACTTGTCTTGATGTTTGGTGAGGATATAGGGTATTAGTTATCTGTTAACTCATTGCCGTTTGATTGGTATTTTAGTAGCCTATGTTTTGTTAGATCACATGCTCCAATCTCTATCAGACTACATCTATCTGAAGATCTGCACTTTTCACCTTAGAAGTGCAATGTTTCTTATTAAATGTAGACCTGCGGTTTATAGTGGTGTTTTTTGTTGGTGGTGTGTGGCCTCCCATCATCTGTGTGTTACAACAGAAAACAATGCAGCCAACAGACTGGCCAATGTCGCCGTGAAATCCATGACTTCTTACTGCACTCACAATTTATATAATTCATTATTTTGTTTGAACTTTTGTAAGGTTAGAAATTGCATACCAAAAAAATCATAAAAAATATGCATTTCGACTTTTTAAATTTGATTCTTATCATCTTTATCTACTTACAGATGGAGTAACACCCAAAATGACTTGAATGACTTATGAGAGAGCTGAAGGAGAAAATACAGCTATAGTATAAATGCAGGCACAAACAGGCCCTGCGATGGACAGTAATTATAACTATAGACCGAAGGGTCAAGGTCAGTCACAAAGAAAAAGATGTCTGAAGGACAGTCGTATGAACAGTAGTCAGGGCAGCTGTTCATCTGACGAGGAATTCCATTCAGATGACAACTTACGACCTTACGAGGAGGTGAAGGTCGCTCACCAGGACAAAAAACTCAATGGGTTAGGTAAGTGTTTGACAGGGAAGTCATTGTGTACAGTCATAACAAACATCTTAGACATGTAACTATACTAAGTCTGGGATCACCTCTTTACATGTAGGTCATGCTGATCTCAATAGTAAGAATGTTAAGTGAGCATATTTAGTCATTGTCTAAATGCAGAGAATTAAGGAAGTGTTTTTATGACTGGAGTCTGTGCTGTATCCTACATGCCTGCCTTTTAATGCCGTTTGACTTTTACGATTTCTAAGAGCTCAGTTTCTATGATTGCTGGACCAGTAAAATCAGAAATGGTTGTCAGTCAGCTGACCTGAGAGTGCCTGTTTAATGGCCCAAGTGTGTAAGTTAATGCCGGATTCTGACAAGTCGCAGGTCTTTTGATGGTCAGTACTAGATTTTTATAGACCTTAGTCAATTTTCTGCCATCGTAAAACTGGTTTGATTATGGAAGTTCAGGCATGCAGGAAATGTCATTTTCTTGTCTTGAGAAATGTTACAAGTTTTAGCATCCTCCTCTGTCAGGTTGGACTACTATAACAGCTATTACTGGCTCTTCTATGATGTGAAATCCCCTTTTATAATTGACTCTGGGTACTTTTACATTTAGACTGTTAATCTATTTCAAATAACTTAGATACACATCATTCTGCCAATGCTTTAATTTCTTCACCTTGATTTAAAACCTGTGTTATTGATTGCTGCAGTAATTGGGCTTACAGAAGCGGAACCAATGTGATTCTGAGATTATTGCCAGCAATCAAATGTCCCCATTTCTGATGAAATAGAAGGGTCTTATGATGGAGATTTGAATTGGAAAATTTTAGACATGTCAGTCATTCTAATGGTCTTGCAGGCCCATAAACTACAGTGAAGTCTAATTTGATTGTGCTGTTATACTCTGGAATTGATGTCCAATTGAATTAAAAAATCCTTTTATGAACTGCAATTGGAACTTAAATGTTATTTATTGTTATTGTCCTTAGAAAAAAACAATGTCATTTTATCCAAATTTCAAAAACGTTAAAATTTACTGAAGTAAATCCCTAGATTGGTTTAAAGGTTTAATTTCTGATTGTCTTAAATACTCTGTTTTCAATGGATGGCATTTTGGAATAGATTCATAGCTGTTGGAGTAAGATGAAGTAGCTTTTGTAGAGGTATGACAGGAATTTGCTGTGATCTGTGTTTATGTTGCCCCAGCCAACATCCCCCCTCCCTGTTTGTGGAGGGACATGATCATGGTGAGATTAATGGCTGGAGGCTGCCAATATAACTACACCAAGATACCTGTCTTGTTTATACACCTGACCTGTATATCTACAGAATACAAGAAAACGGGATTAGATGATAGGTTTTTTATGGCCCAGATCAGGTGTGCTCAGTATCAGAAATTCAGGGGGTTGTAGACACATCAGCTTAGCCTGGCATGATAGCATCATAGTCTATGTTAACATCAGGATTCAGTAGTTATTGGCATGCAGGTACATCAGCCATCAAGTCTTCATGAGCAGTAAATCATTAAATCTACATTGGTCCTATGCTTCTATGTGGATTCTACCTTTTATCTGATATTTTAAATATATTTCAAAAGATCTAGTGGAAGATTATTAAGTTTAATTCTAAATGGTTTTTATTTTGAAATCTGAAGAAAAATTTCTTATATATTGGAGTAAAACTTTTGATAACTATACATATCCAATTTTTTGTATGTCATTGACCTTTGACCTTATGTCACCAAGTTTGAACTTTCTAATTATAAAATGAACTGATGATTTACTCCTCAATAAAAGTTCTTTTTTAATCTTTTCTCAGCAGCAATAATTCACAACACTTCAGAGTATGATCAATTTGTTTTTTAGTGACACACTACTATGATGATAGCAGTTAAGATCTCTTTTCTTTCTTTGTTTTTTGGTTTTCCAAAGGATGCTCCAAGCAATTACTCTGGGTGTTACAGAGATGAACTGAGGTGATAGCTAAGTTTTAAATACAGATAGGGCTATCACCATTTTCACGTAATTAGGGCTGTTTTCTTTCTGGTGATAAGGTGTATTGTTAGGAGCCTGTGAGCTTTGGTTAATGTCTGCAGCCTCCCGCTATCTGTAATGACATTGGTATATCATTTATAAAGATTTACGCTTCAATGATGGTCACAATTAAAAACAATAAACCTCTCTGTATAAAATGGTAAACACGCACATTAAGAATTCATTGCTGTTGTATTGATTCTGCCTGTGATGTTGGAGTGGAGAGGAGAAAGCGTTTAAGATGAATTTAGAAAGGAACATTTAGGAGTACACTGATAAAGAAGTAATAGACCGTGTTTTCAGGAGAAACAAGCTGCTGGCAATTTGACTGTAATCTTTGTATCTATTGAAGCAATGTGACATTGATTTTGCATCAAGAAAACATATTTCGGGAAAGCCATGAAGAAAATTGGTTAATATACACTCTTGTTTTTGGCATAAACTTGCACAAATTATTTATGAAATGAGCAGATATCGTACAATTTTTGTTTTGGAAGGTTTATTAGTCCATAGTGTAAGACATTTCCAACAGCTGATGAATCAAATTCTTTTTAGAGAAGCAAGTCACTGAGTATAATACAATTAAAAACTGTAGATACTGGTGAAAAGAAATTGTTTTTCGCAACCAATAAATAAAATAATATTTTTAGATGATGATATTTCAACCAATAGATTTTTCGTGATTCACATTGAATACTTTCAAGGAATTCTGTTAAGTAGATTTTAATTGACTCGGAGATTGTGATAACATGATGGATGTCCTCGGAATAAAATTTAGGGGTGCATTGTGGGTATTGTCCTAGAAAAGATTTTTGAATGCTGGCGACATCTGATTTTGTTGGGGACATCATCAGAGCTGAGATTGGATGGTACAGAGAGATGGAATGATAGCGTATTCCATATTCCCGGCTCCAGTGTCCATTGTTAGCTCCATTGTCTCTCTCTGTTGACACAGTCTGTGGGGAACACTGCAATCTGAGAAAACTCTTCCAATCTCATTTCAGGCTCTCTGTTTTCAATGCCAGCATTAGTCCATGTAATTAATTACTAGTAGCTTAGCTCTAACTACTTCGTCACTAGTGTTTAATTACAAATTAGAAATTATCCTGAAAGAATTGTGAATGGAAAATGCATATGTACATGTATGTCCAAGTATTATTATAGTGTTATGTCATGACGTCTATGTTTTTCTTTAAAAAAAATATTGCTAGATTAATTACATCTATAATATGAGGGCCTGTTTCCCGTCTCTCAGACTCCTTAGAGAGATTCTGCCAAGACCAAAGAAAGACAACTCTCTTTGTTTTACCCTTGTTTTGCATGCATGTTTTTTGTGATTCATCTGTTCATTTTCAATTATTATTTTAATCATCATCATCATTGTCATTTTCACTCTGCTGCATCCAAATATTAAAAGTAGAAACATTCCTTTAATTTGTAAAATTTTATTATATTTTCCTGACAGAAATCTTATAGTTTGATGATAATGATGATGAATTTTTAGCTCACCTGAGCCGAAGGCTCAAGTGAGCTTTTCTGATCAAAATTTGTCCATTGTCTGTCGTCGTTGTCGTTGTTGTCGTCGTTGTCGTCGTTGTCGTCGTTGTCGTAAACTTTTCACATTTTCATCTTCTTCTCAAGAACCACTGGGCCAATTTCAACCAAACTTGGCACAAAGTATCCTTGGGTGAAGGGGAATCAAGTTTGTTCAAATGAAGGGCCACGCCCCCTTCCAAGGGGAGATAATTATGAATTTGTGAAAAATTTATGACATTTTTAAAAAATCTTCTTCTCCAGAACCGCTGGGCCAGGAAAGATGAAACTCATGTGGAAGCATCCTCAGGTAGTGTAGATTCAAGTTTGTTCAAATCATGACCCCCGGGGCAAGGGTGGGGCCAAAATGGCCGACCCAAGTTTTACATAGGAATATATAGGAAAAATCTTTAAAAATCTTCTTCTCCAGTACCACTGGGCCAGGAAAGATGAAACTCATGTGGAATCATCCTCAGGTAGTGTAAATTCAAGTTTGTTCAAATCATGACCACCGGGGCAAGGGTGGGGCCAAAACGGTCAACCCAAGTTTTAAATAGGAATATATGAGAAAAGTCTTTAAAAATCTTCTTCTCCAGAACCGCTGGGCCAGGAAAGATGAAACTCATGTGGAATCATCCTCAGGTAGTGTAGATTTAAGTTTGTTCAAATCATGACCCCCGGGGCAAAGGTGGGGCCAAAATGGCCGACCCAAGTTTTACATAGGAATACATAGGAAAAATCTTTAAAAATCTTCTTCTCCAGTACCACTAGGCCAGGAAAGATGAAACTCATGTGGAATCATCCTCAGGTAGTGTGGATTCAAGTTTGTTCAAATCATGACCCCCGGGGCAAGGGTGGGGCCAAAACGGCCGACCCAAGTTTTACATAGGAATATATAGGAAAAATCTTTAAAAATCTTTTTCTCCAGAACCACTGGGCCAGGAAAGATGAAACTCATGTGGAATCATCCTCAGGTAGAGCAGATTTAAGTTTGTTCAAATTATGACCCCCCGGGGCAAAGGTGGGGCCAAAATGGCCGACCCAAGTTTTACATAGGAATATATAGGAAAAATCTTTAAAAATCTTCTCAAGAACCACTAGGACAGGAAAAATGAAACTCATGTGGAATCATCCTCAGGTAGTGTAGATTCAAGTTTGTTCAAATTATGACCCCTGGGGCAAGGGTGGGGCCAAAATGGCCGACCCAAGTTTTACATAGAAATATATAGGAAAAATTCTTTAAAAATCTTCTACTCAAGAACCACTGGGCCAGGAAAGATGAAACTCATGTGGAATTATCCTCAGGTAGTGTAGATTCAAGTTTGTTCAAATCATGACCCCTGGGGCAAGGGTGGGGCCAAAATGGCTGACCCAAGTTTTACATAGGGATATATAGGGAAACCTTTTAAAATCTTCTTTTCAAGTACTTCAAAGCTATGATTTGTGATATTTATATGGAATCATCCTCAGGTAGTGTAGATTATAGTTTGTTCAAATGATGAACGCCTGGAGGGGAGGGGGGTGGTGGAGTAAATTCAAGCCTGATGTGCTCAGGTGAGCGCTGTGGCCCCTGGGCCTCTTGTTATTTTTTGTTTGTTTACTGTCTCTTTAGTTTGCTTTCTCTCTGTTTGTAAGGTCTAACCCCTGAAGAGCATGTTGAGCTAACAGCCATGGACCAAAAAGTTCACATGATGTGTTCCAAAAATAACAACAAAACCCCTCGCTTCTACACGTACCGTGAGGGGTCGGAGGGGGAAGAGTCCGAACAGAATCTCTCAGTGTCCACAAAACACGCCTCCCTAAGTGTCAATCATCAGGGGTCACAGTGCTCAATTTCATCCAATGAAATGGACAATATGCATTCTATGCGAAATGAAGTTGTTTCCAGGTCAGATTCTGACCCCGACAACCAAAATCATCACATTAACTCACCGCTTGGCCAAAATAAATTCCATCATGCAGGTAACAGATTTTAGACAAAATATTTATACTGTAGATTCCTTATTTTTTGCAAGTTCTTATTATGGCAAAAGAGCTCTTCAATGTCAAAGTGCAAAAATTATAGTTCGAGAATGGACAGTTGATTAAAAAATTTGACATAGTTCGAGAATGGACAGTTGATTAAAAAATTTGACATAGATTTCAGCACCTTAAAAATAAAAGCAAGTAATTTTACTTTGCAAGTGTTTGCTTCTTGCAAAATTACAAAACAATAAATTCCATGCATATAATAAGGAATCTACAGTACGAAAAATATATGCACTTATCTAAAGGAGTTGTAAAACTTGATGAAATGCACAAAGTAAAACAAATATTATTTGCCACCTGATAAGGAAGGAAGTTCATGTAAGCATTTTAGAATTTTTTTTTGTATAAAATAAGATCCCAGCAGTCTTACTTTAGTATGGGTTTGATAGAGTTAGTGATAGATTCATTTGCCTGAGAGCTCCCAAAAGGCTAGTCAAAAGTGGTAAAAATTTTGCATGACATTCCCTCATCATCCTGTAATGTGCCTGTTTTAAAAACATGGAGAGGGAAAAAAGTGGTCCAAGTCTGCTCCCCAGTTAATAGTTTGGGCCGCCCATTTTATAGAAAACTCGAACACAGGCAGAATGCCTTTAGACATGCAAGGACTGCTATAAGAAAATACAGTAGACTCAGAAATAATGTACCACTCAATTCAGCTAGGAAGATAGGTGCCAGGAATGGCTTATCCCATTTGTAGAAGTGAATACCTCTGACATAAAGGGTAATTTTGTTATGGTGCCAACCACTCTATAATTTCATTGATATACATCTGTTGATATGAAACCTTATTACAAGTATTGACAACTGGGTTGATGGATGGGGTGAGAAACTGATGATGGAGACTTTAGTCAGAGTCAGGCCTGTAAGAACGGGCCTGATAGATCTGTATTATCAGAAGTGGCTGTCAGAACTCGGACAGTCCAGACTGACTGACCAATCATAATCAGGGATTTGTTGTCTCCAACTTTGACAGCCAATCAAACTAAAGTATTGCTTTGTATCACACAATGACAGCCAATCTTTGATAGGTATATTTATTCTGTTTGAGATATATTACAATATCACAAATGTGACATTTCATCAGTTAAAGTGTGTTATAAGAGGTTTTTTTAATTTTAGGATTAAATGAGCTCAGTATAGCATGATAAGAAATGATACTTTGACAGTCATGCCTTAAAACCTTGTTATAAGATTTTGAGTGAGATTCTGATAAAATTACAACTCATACAATTATCTATGTCACCAAATTGTGTGCATATATGCCTTTAGTTGTATAAAGGAAAAACAAAAGAATAAATTGTATTTACACTGGAGTTACTGACCTCTACCCAAACACAGGGTCTGGGAAATTGGTGAAAGTGTGAGTAGGTTGTATTGATTTGGGAAACAGACATGTTGATTTCCATAAATAAGAAGAAAATGTCAGCTTTTCTTGAACAACAGCCATTTCTAACAACTCATCTCTTTGTTTGCACTACAAGGCAAATTGGAAATGTTATTTTTGTGTCCCATAGGACTAAGTATGGTGGAATATCCATCAAATATTGCAAATAAGGCAGTCATCTCCTTGCTGAAAAAGAACTATTTGATTGGCTGCAGTCATTTGATGAAGTGAGGACTATACACTCACTGAGATAGCCAGACTGAATCATTGCCTGATTGGTCAAGATTCTCAGAAATTTACAAAAAGTATTCATTGTATTGTCTAGTCCATTTAGAGATGTGTGTTTCTCTGAGATCTGTTCCTTGCTTTAGTTAATTTTCTCTCCTGGTTGACTCCAAAGGCAGAAGCTTTTATATAGACATCCTGTGAAGAGTTGATATTGAGAGATGTCAAGCCGTGGCATGATGGGATAGATTGTATTGGGGACTTGTGATTGGTTATCAGGATTTACATGGTGATGGAAGAAATTGATCTGGGATAGCTGAACTTGGGACCTTCTCTGTGATTGGTATTAGTTCTGATATCAGAGTAAACATCAGAACCGAAAAAAATGTTTTCCTCCACACACTTGCTGAATAGCGATAGTCTGGATAATTTGGACATGCTGTTTCTTATTATTATTATTTTTTTTCACAAAAACTGTTCACCCAACTGACCTAAAACCTTTTTAGGGTTAATGGGTGTGTAGTGTAGGTGTGCGGAACGAAGGTCATTTTGCGCGCATACGCATGCACGTGCGTGCGCGTGCAACACGTGAAATGACTTGTATACTTAATATAGCTATAACTTTTATATTTTTTAATGAAATGATTTGAAACTTATTATTTAAAGATATATTATAGTGTAGATAATGTGACATAATTAGCACGAACTCAATTTTTTGTTTTTTGACGAAATACTATGAAATTTAAAACATAGGCATTCTTTAGGATGTTCTACAATATGATATATAGAAATTTTCATGAAATTACGCGCATGCACGTGCGCTGCAATCTGATTGGCTAAAACTTTAAATGGCTATATCTCCCTTGTTTTTCAACCAAACAGCATGGGATTTCTTTGGACTCCTACAAGAAAATCATGAGCATATATTTTCGCTCTGATTGGCTGAAACAAAAATCTCAATATCTTTTTTGTTTTTTGACGAAATGCTTTGAAATTTAAAACATAGGCATGCTTTAGGATATCCTACAATATGATATATAATAATTTTCATCAAATCACGCGCATGCACGTGCGCTGCAATCTGATTGGCTGAAACTTTAAATGGCTATAACTCCCTTGGTTTTCAACCAAACAGGATGGGATTCAGAACGTAGATACATATTATAGACTCCTACAACAGGGAATGGTCATCATGCACATGCATGCACGTGCGTGCACTTTGAGTAAAATTACAAATACACTAGATTAAACATATTTTTGGATTAAATGCTGTAATTTTTAGTATATTAAAATATATGACTAGTGTAGACAAGATGATATGGTCATTACGCACATGCATTCAAATGCGCATGCGTGCAATGCTGAAATTGAATACTTCTGGTAAAACTTTGTTAAAGTCTTATTTAATGAAGCTTACAGGGAATAAGGCACCAAACGGGAGTTGGGGAGCGTTTGGGGAACATCTGTAACGGTTCCCGTTACAATTAGCCCTAGTTTGGACATGCTGTCCACAAAGTTCCATGGTCAGTGGTTCTTGATAAGATGATGTGGACTTTGATCACTTTTGTTAATATTGTGCATATCAATTTTTTGTGAAATAATTATTCTATCATGTTCTGTTCTTATTTTGATATCGTTTTGTTTTCTTTGCTGAAAAATCTATATTTCATTTAGTTTTCAATAAAAGAAGCAAAAACTATTTTTTAAAAATTGATTAGAATTTTTCAAGTACATTTATAATATTATTACTTATATTGCCAGATGTCTTTAATAGTTATTGGTATCTTTCAGCTACAGCACCAGGGGGTCTACCACCCTGTTTTAACCCCCCTCCACCACCGCCACCCATAGAAGACATTCCACATCAAACGACGGTGCCACAGAGACTTAACAGGTGTATAGGGCCATCGTATCGGGGGACCTACTCGGACGCCGACATGTGTCAATGTCGGGGTCACTTTGTGGACTCTAACACTGCGTTACTACACAATCACCACAGTATAAGGGGACATTACTCAGACAATGAGAACCCCTATCACAGGGGACATTCGTGCTCAGACAGTGAACATTATCATCAAGTGAGACCTTGTGTTTATTCGGGGGAGGAGAGTGACTTTGAACCCCATTATTTGGAGCAGACTGCCTCAGGCAATGTCTTCATTCCAGGTAGGTGTACTCATGATGTTGATAGAGGAAAAGCAGGTTAAAATGAATTTCAGTACCAACCTCTGTATAATATACACATTCTTGGAATATAATTTACTGAAAAGAAAGCCATTCATTGAAAAGTCATTTTGATTGGTTTTGTTTAAGATAACAAATAGTAAAAATATTTTATTTCTACATAAACCTACTGGTGCATCAATATGTGCTGTTTTAAAAAAAATCACGCGCAGGGCAGGACAAATAGAGACAGAAGCAGGGCCAGTAGCACTTGAATTTGCGGAATCAACTTAGGAGTTTATGCAAATTATCATGCAAGCCACTTGATTGATCACATCATAAAACCGAAATATTAGACAATTTTTCTTTAAATACATATTAAGCTGATTATTTTGTAGATTATAAATTCATGCTATGATTTGTTTATTCCAGATGGACAACCTCGGTTTCCACGCACAGTGCCAAGGTCAGGGTCAGTGCCAATGTCAAGGTCAGGAGAGCTAGTCAGTCCACAACCCATCAGACCCCAGTGTTCTAACACAGTCCCCAGTCACTTCCTCAATGGGGAGCACCACAATTCTGAGAGGTAGGGATAAACTATGTAACCCCCCCACCCCAACCCCCCTCCCACAACCCATCAGACCCCTGTGTTCTAACACAGTCCCCAGTCACTTCCTCAATGGGGAGCACCACAATTCTGAGAGGTAGGGATAAACTATGTAACCCCCCCACCCCAACCCCCCTCCCACAACCCATCAGACCCCTGTGTTCTAACACAGTCCCCAGTACTTCCTGCAGATCTGTAGCTTTCCACAATTCTGAAGGTAATTATATTGATAGACCCCCCCACCCCAACCCCCCTCCCACAACCCATCAGACCCCTTGTGTTCTAACACAGTCTTATATTTTTAATTGGGAGCACCACAATTCAGAGAGGTAGGGATAAACCCCCGTGTAAAGCACCACTCACACCCTCCCTACTTATGTACCATACTATTAAAAATTTTAGCCAAAAAATTGGAAATTTAATAATCAGGTAAAGGATGCCCAACATTTCCTACATTTTAAATTAGTGTATTACGAGGGTTGATCCAAAAGAAATGTCACAACTTTGATAAAATTGCTATAAATCGACAGAAAGCAACAAAATTATACAAGATTGAAGCTTTATTCATTTTAAATCCAAAATTTCAAAGGCTGTATAAAAATATCGGATTTGAATGTTCGTTTATGATTCACCGCACCTATGTATAACGTCATATGACGGGACGCATTCATACAACAATTACGTTTCATTAAAAAATATTTGTGATTCACAAACACTTTAACCAATTCCACTTTCTTTAAGAATTACTGGTACCATTATACACTCAGTGCACTCTTTTCATAATGAAGCCCTCTGTCAAAATATTTTGAACAGTATCATAATACAAACTTAAAAATTAACATGTCACTCTATACGTCTGTCTTTTTTGACAACGTCGGACACCATTGAACGTTTCCATCCGATCTCCAATTTTTCAGTCTTCTTGTCCTCTGCTGATCATTCAGTGACCAATCACCTGCCCAAAATTGGTGAAACCATCTATTAGATGTCTCTTATTTACATTCTTTATTCTGTAAGTCTGATTAATAAACGTAACTGTCGCTTGTGATGATTCCCATATTTTGAAGCAAAAATCCATTACAACTCGTTGAGCCGTTTTCCCCCATTTCAACAATCCCTTTGTTCAATGCAACAGAGTAAAACAACAATGTTTATGATCACAAATACCAATGCCGTCATTTAATTTTCAAATACAGACTAGAAAATGACGAGAATTGTATCTTTTAAAAACTTGGGAGATAAGGTGCATTTTTAGAATCTTTTTAATGCGTTTGTCTTTCTCATTCCAAGAAAAAATTTTAGTTAAAAAATCAAAAATTATTAAATCAAAATTTCAGTGTTATAGATATATTTGTGCTTCATGTTGTATTTTACATTATTAAGGATATGGACACTGTGACATTACTTTTGGATCAACCCTCGTAGTTGACAATGTTTTCTATATTTATTTCATGTAAACCACACCATTCTATGATGGTTTTAATTTATAAAAGCTAAAAGTGACAAAATTAGTGTAGTTATTACATAACGACAGCGGAATCCATTCCTTACAGAGGAACTGTGTGACTTAATCACATTCTACTGATCTTTATCCTAAAACTTGCAAGTACATGTACAAGTATTTTCCTTTTCTGTAATGTTACTGAGTGAATCATAAAGCAAATAAAAGGAGATTTTGAACTCGGATATGCAACATTAGAGGTTAGGGTGACGGGGAAGAGATGCATTACTTGTGACAGGAGACAGAACTATGTTGTTACACAGACAAGATAATTCAATCTTCCCAGCATTCTGTTTGATATTTTCATATTTATTAAGTTCTCTACTGTAAGGTTCTGTGACCATGCTGTATATATCACAGAGAATGCTGGGAGATAATAGGATTATACCCTGACGCCTATAAAAATAATTTACTGTTATGTGTCGGATGTCAGTTCATTGGCATCAGAGGAGACAAGATTCTACCCTCAAATAGAGTTCCTTAGATTCAGAGCATTTAGATGCCTCCATATTAGGTTAAACTTGACAGCTTTCAATCTGTATGTAAACTCTCTCTGGTGCAGAATCCAACCAAACTGGCATTTGTTACTTGGAGAAATTCAAATTCGAGATAGAGTTTCAGTAAGTAGGAATTAACAAAATGCAGGCTAGAGTGGTGTCCCTTTTATAATAATTGACTTGCTGAGTCTTCCATCACCTCTGGATATAAAGAGTAGGAGTAGAGTTACAGTAAAATGTTCACTAGAGGGATGTCCCATTCAATTAGTTTGTTATACAGGGATTCGTAGGCTCTCTGGGATATAAGAGCAGTATATGGTTTCTGGAAATGGGTATTGTAGAGTTAGACAGCAGTATAACTTGCCTACAGGCTTTAGTCACTGGATGAGAAAAGTGCATCAGTCAATTACACATCTTTTCTGTATTCAGAACGGAGCATTTGCTTCACTATTAATCCCCCTCATTTCCTTTCTTCTCTTATCGTTTAGCAGTTATCTGTTTAAAATTTGATTCCAATCTCCCAGGGGTACTCGAATTCTGCAGTTTGTAAAACCTGTGAGCAGAAATTTTATCCAATGAACTCGCAGATAATCCTCTGGCTTTTTATGAATTCATTTCCTGGGCCAAAATGTACAGGGGACCAGCATTGCTGATTTCATGGCATTTTCTGTGATTGTTTCACAAAGATTGGACACTTAGATTGGTACCACAATATTGCTGACTTTTTGTCTTCGTAATTGTAGAATCTGACAGTTCATTTTTCTTGTATTTAATTTCAGACCTAGATTTATTCATGACTTTTTGGTCTCTGACTGGAAATATGAACAAAGAATGTCCAATTAGACGGAATTAATGGCAGCGTAGCTGTTATGTAAATAAGGGACAGAGAATCAGCATCAGAAATCTCACAGATTCCTTTTAATCCTGAACACATTCAATTCATTTTCTCCCAATACATTTATTTTTTGGGTTGGTATTTTTTGTTTGTAATTGATGGGGTACCAGAAATGGCTTTCATTGAGTGCTGTAAATGGTCAGATGCTCTCATTATTGTGCCGCAGTTAAAACCTTACTGTTGTCAGGCTTTTATTGAAGTTTCATTGAAATGTTCAGGAAATCAATTAACATTGTTACATTTATGTCTCTGTATTTGCATGTTGTATCAAGACTTCATTTCTCTCTTTAGCATTGTAACCAAGATTCTGCCGCATTCTGTTAGGATACACAGCTGAGTTCCGTTACAGTAGAGATGGTTTGCCAGTATATCGATAGTTTTGTCAATAAAATGCTTGTCTATGTAACTCAGCAATTGATTAGGGCCGCTGGAAGTACACACGTTACAATTAAGTTCTGTTACTTTTATTCCATTTTAGTGGAATTTTTTAAATTGATTAATGAAACATAACTCCTCAATTAATGCATTTGGTAGACAAAAGGTGGCAGGATTGTTTAGTGAAGACCATTCCCAGCAAATGGACAGCAATCTCTGATCACTTACTGAACAATTAACCGTAGTGGAACTATTAAGTCAGACAATGCCTACCTCTGATAGCAGGCTTTAATGGGAGAAAATATAACTATGGACATTAGTTTTCTGTAAAAGCGCAATCAAACTTCTTCAGTAATTACTGCTTTCAAATGCTTTTTCACAGTCGAAACAATTGACGATGATGTCACTAATGCAGATGTCTGTAAAGCATGCACACGAACAAAATCCAATATTGCTGATTCTGACCACAAAACGAGAGCTGTGAATCGGTATTTTATACTAATAACACTGCTTTTAATAGTTCCTGAGGACATTTTATTTTATTGTGGAGACAAAAAGGTGTTTTACTAATTAGCATAGAAAATGTTTTGATCCAAATTGTTCCCAAAACGTTTGGTGGAGGATGAAGACGATGTGAAATTTCCAGTGGCATATTTTATTTTGAGTGACGAGTTTTTTACCGCGGAGAATCGTGGGCTGATCAGCTGTCACAGTTTGGTCACCTCCGAGATTGAACAGTTTATATCTGATGCTTGATAGAGGTGTCTGGAGACTCTGCTACAACTCTTTGGCTTGATTAATTGACGAGTGTGTGATTAAACTTTTCTGGACGTTTCTTTTACAGGCAGGCCTTTCTACCACACGGTCAGTGTGGATACCCCGCCAATATGACATCTCCACCCCGCTCTCACGACTGCGGCTACACAAAGTTTGGCAATACTCCCCACTACATGAAAAAGAAGTTAAAAAGATGGAGCTGGAAGTGGGCTGCCTTAATTCTAGTCATTATTTGTGTGGGACTTCTGGCTGCCACCACTTATTTTGCAGGTATGTTTAATTAAAATGATTTCTTTTTATGTGGTCCTGATAGATATTTTTGACTACAATAGGGTATAGACTGCTACTTGGCTATATTTCTGAGTTTATAATCAAAGTTACATTTATATTTTGTGTTTCCAAAATTTGAAAGAAAACTAAATTAGTTACTATGAATCAAGTCTTCATCAACATTTTGTGGATTGGCATCCTTCATAACGAAGTCTTTCTATCCCAATCTCATCTCCTTGAAAATAAAATAGAAAAGGTATTTAATGCTTTGCAACACACTTATATGTAGAGTATGTAAAAAACAAAAAGTACTATAAATGTATTACATTTAGCTGCATATTTTTAGTGCTTTTCATTGAGGGAAACTTCCTCTAATTTGCTAAATGACATAAATAAGAATATTGAGAACAATTTACACCAAATATTGTACATGCATACATGCCAACTTTTGAAAATTCCCATACATGCCAACTTTCCCGATTTAGGCGGGATCCTCCCGATTTTACCCTTTCATCCCGCTTTCCCGATCGCTTAGCATGCTAAATATAATACATTTGCGGTATTCACTGGCTTTGTGGAACATCATTTTGAGTATTTGTCACTAACCACTAAAGACTTATTTTTAAAAAATATTAACCAAACTCTTATTTGAAGAATTAATTTCCTTAACCTTAAACTTAGGAACTGCAGCCCTGACATAAAGTAAGACAACACAGTGTTAAGTTTGGGCAGACATAACCATGTCTTATTTGTTATGTAATGAAATGTAAAATACATTAGACATGTAAGTGATAATAATTAGTTGAATGAAAAGTGACGCTTTCCTGGAAAGTTGAAGATAGTTATTATGAAATTACGCCTTCTGATTGGCTAATTAATTTGTTTTTATTTAAAAATAACTAATTCAGGGCTCTGATTGGTTAAAAAGGTCCCTGTCACCAGGGGGCGCCTGGTACTTGACCAGTGGCATTATTCCCTAGAGGGTCTCCCTCTATTGTCTTAATTTACGTAACTAGATGAATGTCCCCTAGGGGGTACCCCTCAATTGCTAACAGCCCGGACTAATTGACCATTATTTAAAACCAAAATGGCGTCAATATAAACAATAAAAATAACACAAATAGAGACGTACAAACACATGAAGATATGAATACATATAATAGTCATGGACATTAACACTACAGAAACATATAACATGAAAAACGACTGTTACATGAGGGTAAAGTGCCAAGGTTAGACACACGAAGCATGAAAAGTATGTTACATAACATGAGAAGGCACGTAACATAAATTAATAACAATTAAACACTGTTTAATAATATTTTATTTACCATCTCTTGATATGACATGCCACTGTCATTTTGGCAAATTTACTGACATTTAATAATTTAGCAAAATCCAAACAAATTTCTTTCATCTTAAGGTTCAGTTTGTTCTTGACAGATACCTGAATTTATTGATGATATGTAACTTTTGGATATTATGATGTTATGAAGTTTAAAGTTCCTAATAAAGGGGTAAGCTAGGTTAAATGATTTGAAAAGTGAAGGCAAATTAATGTTAACTGTTCAGTATCAAAAAATTGCTGGCCAAATAACATCCACTAACAAAAGAAAAAATTAGCAAAAAACACATTTTGTAAAAAAATTTACAATAAACAGACCTGTATGCTACAATGACTTTTCTTTCAAAAACATTTTGATCAGGTCAGTGTACATGTATTGGTGTAGGTTTTACTTTGATTAAAATACAACATGGGTCCTTTAATTCCACCATTGATTGGCGCTTTACTGTTCCTTCATCAACAAGTGTTTTTCAACTTCTTCCAATTATTTCTTCTCTTGGGAAGAAGCAACAAGATGATTTCCTCGGCGCGGTCCCGATGGTGCCGTTTTCCGACGGTGACCGATGAAGACTGTCAGTCAAGCCGAGAGAATCTATTGTTTACCGGGAATTGTGCCGCAATTGTCAGGGCTCGTCAGTAGATGTAGGATCAGAGTGTCACATGACCCATCAAACAACTATCTCCACGGACCAATATTTATTGTACTACTGAATTATTTGGATTGAAAATGTAATTTGAATTGAAATTTTACGAGATAAATGGGACTAAGACAGACCATAAATTGTAGAACAATATATTAAATGCATATTAATACAAGGCTTCTTGCTGGCTTTGTCCGAGGGTAACAAAAAATTAAATTATCGCAAGGTCTCGACAAACAGAAAATCGATCAATACATTAACTTAAAGTCTTGCATTTTTTCCGTGAGCTTTGCTATGAGGATGCAGTGTTTTACATCAATATCCAAGCAGTCTGTTTTTACAAAGTAGCAAATTCAATAAAATTTGATGCATTCCCTGTTCAAACAGTGTGCAGAATTGTTGAAAGTGTGAAATTTGCATGACAAGTATTAATAAATCCTCAATAGATCTTGTCGCCTTATAGTCTTGTCATAATTATCAATTTTCTAAGAAACAAGCCTCTCTGCTTTACTGTTGTTATGATTTTTATTTACATGTACTTTCAGCTCATTTGACGTTTGAGAAAAATGAGAAAAAAGAGGAAGTACCTGGTGCCTTAAACCACACAGGTATATATATGTATAATGTTAATCAAAGTACTAAAAGTTAACAAAGCTAGCATTACATTTTTGTCGTAATTGATGTTTTGAAACTTGAAATTTTTCAAATAAATTTTGTCATGAAATCAAAGTTACATCAATAACATTGAAGGAAACATTTATTAGGGTAATGCAGTCTTATAATTAATTTGAGACATTCTACAATCAGTCATATCTGTATGTCCCTCCTGTTCTTACAGTTTTAAAGTTCACCCAGACCCCCTTCCACCTAGACGATAGTAGACCCACCTACACAACAATTCCTCCTCTAACCCTGTGGCAGACCTACTTCAATCAAAAAGATTCCAAGTTTGTCAAGTTTGATTTCACCATTCCAAGCAGCGCTCGCCTGGCGATCTACGGCAGACGGAACTTTCCTCCCACCATTGCTCAGTTTGATTTCTACCAGGTTTATGATGGGAGTACCATTAAAGACCCTTCAGCTCAAACAATGAGGGATAGGGTGAGTTACTGAATTTTGCTGAGTATTTAAAGGAGATATTAAGATTTTTAGTTTGAATGTTAACTGTATCAAATGTGTGCATTTAAAAATGATAGACTAGCTGTGTTAATCCAGGTGCTTCACATAATGGATGAAATTTTAGGAACAAAGTATATTTATATATTTACCAAGTATGTTTCAGAAATCCAGATGCTTCTTTAATCTGGACAATTTGCCCCACAGTGAACACAAGTGTCCTGATTAAAGAGGCTAGACTGTATTATTAGAATAGGGCTGTTGAAATTGTCTTCAGTGCTGAAAGATGAGAGAAACTGAGTTTGTACTTTTTTATTTTCCAGTATAAGCGATCCTTACCTGACAAGCAGACAGCGCTGGTACAGCTAATGGAGAAGGGCAAGTGGTACATTACAATATACAATGACCGGGATCAACCGCAGGAAATAGGAGTCTCCAGGACCACCATCGGTAAGGCAGATTACAATGTTAATAAAACGGGACTTAATCTACGTAAAAATGTCAACATTGACCGTAACAATAACTGTTTACTTTGACAGACTCTATGGGATCCAGTTGTGAGAGGGATTGTTTTGGACATGGACTCTGTGATAACCAGGGGAGGTGTCAGTGTTTTAATGGATACCATGGACCATACTGCTCAGAACGTAAGATCTCTACATATAGAACATTGAACGCAGTTTATTTTGCATTAGTATTTTAATTTGAAATTTAATCCCCCAGAAAACTTTAGTTCTCCAATAATTTTTATTCATCCTTGAACATATTGATAGAAAACAGTAATAAAATTGCTCTTAAGACCTTTTGTTAAAAAAATGCTGAATAATGAACTTTTGTCTCCGTATTATAATGTGAGCCAAATTAAGTTTAAAGTTAGACTGTTAAATGAAGCTTTACTTTATACTTATAGAAATTCTGGAACCCTAACATTTGTTGATGTATGTTGAGGCAATGATTTACAAACTTCAATTTTCTTCATCCCAAATTTAGCATGAATTGAAGTCTATACATAGCAGAGAAGAAAATTCAATCAGAGTTGATCTCTGTGTGAAATATTATCCATCACAGAAAATACTTTTTTAAAAAGAGAGAGAGAATTCCCTGATCCAATAATGTGTCATAATTATCAATCTGTAGAATCACATGACTATCCTCCAGGGCCCCTCTCATCCCAGCATTCTCCTGTTTTAGCCCCACGGTAATGTTACTTGTTGAAGAACATCAAAGGTACTCTACTCCGTGTAGAGGGATATGTAACGAGCAAATCAAGTTAATTTAATATCCTGTGATTCATAGGTGTTATAATGAATTACTGGGGTATTGGAGCATTATTGGGTTTTGATTGATGTGATTCATGTTTGAGGGGTATCCCCAGAGAATTCTTAAAATAGCAGTGCTCTGTCTGAAAATTAAAGCAGTTTTTTGTCAGGCTTTATATGGCATCTGTTGTTGTCCTGAGACAATTTCTGATCCCATCCCACAATCTGCGATTCACAAATGATGTAATATTGAATATTTATGAGGAAAACAATATTCATGTGTGGGTAAATGTCCTACATCATGACATATTTTTAAGCAATACTGAAAATTTAGACCAAATTAATAAACCATTCAGAAGTAAGACCAATTAAAGCCATTAATATTGATGAAAATAGAATTTGAATTGTTTTTAATATTTTTTCAATCTTTCAATATTAAGAATAAAAATTGTCAGTAAATTATAAGCATCTTCTCCTACAGCTACAATTGTTCTGTGTGTATGTAAGATTTAGCTGACCAGACTTATGCCTAATTAACACATTTGACTTTTTCAGTTGAGTGTCCCCGCCTGTGTAACGGCCAGGGGGAGTACAGACAGGGAGTGTGTGTCTGTCACGAGGGGTGGAAGGGTCCCGAGTGTGACACCCCAGCCAACAAGTGTGAGAATCCCACATGTAACAACAGGGGGCGCTGTGTGGACGGCCAGTGTCAGTGTGACAAGGGATTCACCGGACCCCACTGTGGTATAGGTAGGTCCAGATTTTACACCGCGCCTAATCACATCCCACTAACACACAGAGAGTGTAGGAACGGGCACGCGACTAAGTTATAACGCTTTTAAGACCATTTTGTAAATCATATACTAGGATTATTTTGCACATACTAGACATCTTGTTGTTTGCTTTTTATGTATAGTAGATATATATGTTTTTTATTTTTAAATATTAGTCAATTTTTTTATTATTTTGCCATCATCTTGTAATTTATTTTCTTTGCTGTGTACATGTAGAATGGAATCATTATGCACTTTTATTTCACAGCCTTACTTTTTATTCTGTATAATTCTCATTTTATATTTTTTGCTTTCACTAATTTTAATCTTTCATGAGATTTTCTTGCATTGAATTCTGAAATAGTTCTGTAAGACCTATCTGTCATTGCATGCAAAGCTGAAGTTTCTTTTTGTTGGCACATTTTAGAATCATTGCATGAAATTTTCATACTTTGAGCATCAAGAAATGGATTGAAAATGACCAAAGATGCAAAAACATTAAAATTGTTCACATTTTTCACAAAATAAAAAATCATTTTGGATTTCATAAATAATAGCAAGCTTTCCAAAAAACTTTTTTGTCTAGAAACATTGAATTATAGTGTAGTGACAACAGAATTCTTACTTAGAACTGTTTTGGATTGGCTGTGAGATGATCTCCCTGGGTTATTAACACCTCTCTTTGTCACCACAGTGACCTGTATAGATCCTAGTTGCTCTGGTAACGGGCTTTGTCACCTGGGTAAATGTGTCTGCTATAAGGGGTTCAAGGGAGACCACTGTCAATTACCAGACAAACTAAACCTGACCCACCTCTGTGCCCGGGACTGCTCGGGCCACGGGCAGTTTGACTGGGATACGGGCCGGTGTGTCTGTCATCGATTCTTCACGGGCCGGGACTGTGAACAAGGTAAAGCCTGCTGCCTGTTAATCAAGGCTGACCCACCGTTTTTGTTGCCTTGACAACTTTTGACCCGTTTGGACGCTGTAGATGTCCACAAATAACTCTAGAATTGAATTATGTGCACTGATTGCATTTTTGATTTCGAGACCCCAAATAAAATGACTAAATCTGAAAGCATGGTGGAAGCTAAGGAAGATAACTCCTGATGCATGGTGTTGACTAGAATGGTTCAATTTGTTCTTGCATTAGCATGGTGTTCTTTTTCCAACAACTCCCATTAAAAATAAAACATTCTTGTTACTAAAATACAGCTAACACAAAACAGCTAACCTTGTACAACAGTATCCCTACAGTCTGCACTAATCTTGCATCATACCAGTATAGCTTACAGAAATTAACCATCGTATAATTTTGAAGGAGGGGGGATATTAATGAGGCTATTATTTTTATGACCTGTGATGATGAAATGTTGACTTGGAGGAAATAAGGTGTCAGAAATATCCCCATCTTATGACAACTACTACCGAACATAACAGCCTTGTCTGAACAGCTCATCAGCCATTATCTGATCGTATTTCAAATCGGTCTGACACCCTCATTTGGTCTATAGCAGGAACCAGCCCAGTATCATTGCTGGCTCTCTATTTTATCACCCATTTGCTTTCTATGTTTTAATTAAAATTCCACACATGATAGGACTTCAGAAAAATCCAATTATGCTGCTGAAATCGACTTGTCACTTTTTTTGGTACTTCATAAATATCAGTATGATTATTAATAAGCAAAAAGTAATTAAATGGTGTGAATTTTCTCAAAAAGCAGCCAGCATGTTATTTATGCACTGCATGCATGCCTAGAATTTTAATTGCAATTTTTTTTATTCTACGCTTTATTTATAGATGAGTTTTTTCAAAAATTCTTCGTATAATTATTCAGAAGATAAATAAAAACAAATATCACATGTATTGTTAAATTTCAAGTAAATACAAATTTAATGATAAATTTTTTTTGGTTAACGTAAAAATCAAGTCAGGTTTCTGTCCCTTGTTGATAGACGTTCGTTCGTTACAGGTCAGATATCATTCCATATTAGGAAGCACGCAGGTACTAACTTGATCTGCATGCCCCCCGTTTACATTTTCTGAAAATAACCTGCATTTTGTTGTCATCAATGTACACAAATTATTGTAACTTTATTAATATTTTTATTTAATCTTTTTGAAGAACTTCATGACATCAATTTGAAGATTTTCGACCCAATTTTCATGTTGTTTTTCTTCAATAACAAGAGTTTTCTAACTTTAATTAGTATCACAGAAAGCATGTGAAGATACTGTGTTGTATTTTCATGTATATATTAAACTACAATTTAGCTTTATTGGATATAGATATGAAGCTGATCTCTGTAAATCTTCTTCCTAATATAGAAATTTCTGATTTTCTATTTTTTTACCTATAAATTTTAACACCATTGATCTATTTCTTCATTCAATATTTTTTCCTGAAGTCTTGGTATATATTAACTTTTTCATTACTCAGGTTAATGACATGATTTCCTACATTTTATTTTGCTTTGTTAATCATGGTAAAGCTTGATATTTGGTGACTGGGTAAATTTTAGAGATGTGTCGACTCCGGTGTATTAACGGACGGTGCCACAATCAGCGCTGTGTGTGTGATAAGGGCTGGGGTGGAGTTCTGTGTGACACACGTAACTGTGACCCTCGATGTGACGGTGTGAAGGGCCAGTGTGACAAAGGGACATGTATCTGTAGAACGGGCTGGAACGGCAAACACTGCACCATAGGTAACACCTCAAAACACTGAACCATAGGTAACACCCCACCCACCCAGCCCCCTGGGTCTGTATATAGGTACTATGTGTATGTAATAAATTAAACCTGGTGCAAAAACAATCTTTGTATTTATAACATATACATCACTGATGGATGATAAAAATATATTAAATAAAAAAGTGGACTTGCAGTACGTATATCTCTGAGACATATTTATCCAAAGATTTGAACTAATTCCTTTATGGGAAAATCAGCAGCATAAAAAATATAAACAAAGGGGTGCATTCTTGTGTGTGCTTTTCTTTTTTTCTAGTTTTACAAAAGATAACATAAGAGTAGAGGTGTTGATTTTTCTTTTTACTTTTTCTTACATTTTCTGCTCATCATTGAGAGCACTCTTTAATGACTGCTTATAATTACTATTAGCAACAGAGGGTTTTATTGGTAGCTTTCTGACTTTTTCTATTGCACTATGAAGATTTATGTAGGTGGAAGATAGAGGATATATCAGACCTGTGTGATATATTGAATAAAATTGTCTTCTAAAGTGATAAATTGTTATATTATGTAGACAAGTAATTAATGTATGTTGATGTAATGAAGATAATGTTTGATCAGGAAATGTATTTTAGGACTTGTGCTTGATGGCAATTTATTAATGCCCAAGTTCATGAAGTGGTTTAAAGAATAAAACAGTTTTCCTTGATAAATACATGAGTTTTATCTATCTCAGAAAAAATGTCTGATTGTATGTAGCTAAAAAAAAAAAAAATTTGTAGTCTTTTTTCACTCTGCCACAATTTATCAAATTTGACTTTATATACATCTTGTTTTAGATGGGTGTCCAAATGGTTGCAGTAACCATGGGAACTGTCGTCGTTATGGTAACAGTGGATACAAATGTGACTGTCACACAGGTTGGAAGGGGAGTGGCTGTAACATCGCCATGGAGATGATGTGCTCAAACAATGTAGATGATGACAATGGTACTTAAGTTTGAAATCTGTCCATTTTCTAAAGCTGAGAAGGAGGGTGAAATGGGGATGGGAGGGTTGTTAATTTGAGTCTTGAAGAATAAAACTTCCATCAATGGAAGATTATTGTTTAAGTTATTCTTTGTTGCATTTAAAAGTGTGTTTGAAGCTCCTTAGTAGTGTAAGTTTTCTATATTAATGAGTCTGTTATTATTAAAATATCAAAAAGGATTTTGTCCTTACATAGGCTGATGTAGCCTACTGCTGAAATTTGAAGGTGTTGAACACCACTATTAGACCTTTGTGTGGTTTGTACCATTACTGTGTTGTACATTGTAGACGGCCTGAGTGATTGTCTGGACCCGGACTGTTGCTCTAGTGCGGCCTGTACCAGGAGTCCCTTCTGTCAGACGGTACAAGACCCGGCCGAGATTCTGCTACAGAAACCTAAACCAAGCTCCACCGCATCCTTCTTCAAGAAAATGAAATTCCTGATCGACAACAACAGCATACAGAAGGAGACATCAAAGAATGCATTTAATGAAAGGTTTGTACAGACCTCTCTTCATGTACAACAGTATCAAGGTCTCAGGATAGTTTATAATCTTTATCCGTCAATTCTTACCCACCTACACTGGACCGACAAGTAAGATTTAATATGCAGAGCAAATGTTGGACTCGGGTGTACAGCAGGTTATAAGAATTCCATCAACTTGGAATATTAAGTTGTATGCTATAATATATTTGTCAACAGATCATTCTCTCAGTTTATTTCAAAATTAGTCTTTAGCTCATCCTGTTGATACACTTAGAAAAGGTATCCACAAAAGTTTGTCTATTGAACATTGTCAATCTGATAAAAAAGAAATTCATGATTTTTTTTTTCAAGGATTTGGTTATCTTTTTATTTATTAATGAAAATGCATTGGATATCTATTTCAAGTGAGTCACTTAATTATAAAGCATCATCACAGGACCGTGTTACTTTATAATTCAGCAGTAAGGAATAATTAGACACCTGTTGACTATTGTATTTCATTGTAACAATTCTTCAACGTTCTGTTTAATGCATAATATAGTCATAAAATGGATGGAAAATCTGTGTTTGATAGCTAAAACGTAAAGATTTCATCTAAATGTCTCAAAAAATGATGCTGTTTAATCTCGGTAAAAATCACCATGATGAATATGCAGTTTAATTTGATAAGAGAGTTGCGCTGGTGAAGAGAGTCTTATTATTTATTGATGGCAAAGAGAGGAGTAGATGTAGTTTCTCCAGAAATACTAATTCAATTGAAAAACAATATCCAGAACCAAGCGGTAACACGGCTTGTGTTGTATTGATTGTATACAAATAGGGCTGGGGGAGACCATTAAAGCCAGCCATGTTAAACTCCGCTGGCTCCAGTGTCTTGTTTCAGAGAGAAGGGACAATTTAACAGATCAGTTAAATGTCTCAATGAATGATTTTAATCAGTGGTCAGTCATTTAGAGATCAGTTTCACACATTATTTATAATTCAGGGTTCCTGCTTTGATATATTAATGCAGACACTTCAAAAGGAAATTCTACTTTTGATATAAGGAAAGGAAAAATGAGAGATATAATGAAATTTACTGATAAAAAAAAATCTGGACTAATATACAATCATAAGTAAGGTCCTTGGCTCTGTGTCTAAGAGTGTTGAGAGTGTCACTAGAAGTTATTGAATTATGAAGTCATTCATTTTCATCACAAAATGTAATCTTGAATTAAGAATGTAGTGTATTTAATATTTTTTACATAAGATTTATACCAGGTAATAAAAGACAAAATTTGTAAATTCGTTTTTTTGGCACAGCAAAACAAGCCATGAGAGCTAATATCAAGATATACTGTAATGGGATTTCAAAGATGATTTTAAGGCTGAACATACTGGCTACAGAAAGAACTGCTTATGATCTGAAATCACACAATTTTTTTCTTGTTTACAGCCAGGTGTCAGTTATCCGTGGTCACGTAGAGACAAGGGACGGGACTCCGTTAGTGGGGGTACGGGTCAATGTCAGGATACAGCCCCTGTACGGACACACACTGACCAGGAATGACGGAAGGTAAGTGTTTTATATCTTACAGAGGGAAAATAACTGATAACTGTTCTTCTCACTTTCTCTGTGATATACTGAATTCAAGAAAAGGAAAATTTCAACATTGAATGATACATACATGTATAATTTATTATATATTTGAGCATCGTAGACATACTTAATATTTTCTAAATAAAAATAAATGAAATTATACATTAATTTAAACCCCTACACAGTGTTGAGAAGAAAACCTTTAAAAAAGATTGGATACAGATATTACATAAATCAATCATATTCATGGTTGATGAGGGGAAAAAAAAAACATTTGCCAAAGTAATATTTCTTTGACATATTTACAAACATTTGTTCATTGCTATTTCTGATAATTCTTCAGGTTTGACATTCTTGTGAATGGAGGAGGTTCTGTTACCTTGGAGTTTACACGGCAACCACTTCAGTCTCACACCATTAGTGTGTCAGTACCATGGAACCAGATCATCACCATGGAGACGGTCATCATGGATCTCCAGTCCGGGGACTTCACGGAGCCTGACCCCTCCTTGTGTGGGGTGGGGCATGACCACCACAGCATGAAACCCATCGTCTTGTCCACCTGGCAACACACTCAACTGGGGGCATGTCCAGAAAAAAGCACTCTCATTCCAGAGTCTCAGGTACAAAAGAAATAGCCATGTACCAATAAATGATATGTTAACACCACAGAAAAAAAATGCTCACCAGATTTTAGATTTGAAAAAAAGATTATTTAAAGATTTAGAGAGAAGTTTTTTCATCTTTTATTCAAAACAAAGAAGCAAATTTGTAGTATACATGTAATCTTATGGTTATTCAGTGAAGGAGTAGTAGGTTTCTTGCTCCAGTAATTAGGGCCCCGCAAGGATTTGCGGGTGCCCTATCCCTAATCACTCTGATGTCCTTTTGTCTGTCTGTCTGTCTGTCTGGAGAGTGTAGAAGTGCCAGGTACCAAAATTTTCTGTTTTTTTCACCTTTTTTTATGGTTGCCCAATCAAGTTCAAATTTGGAATGGTAGACAGAAGGAAAAATACATATTTTGATGCTAAGTTTAGTTCTCTATGTCTTCTGGTTTGGACCTGGCCCTGGTTCACCTCAACTATGCATAGGGGGTAGAATGGTCAAGGTTTTTTATGGTTGCCCAATCGGGCCAAATTTGGTATGGTAGTTCAGTAGGCAGAAATACATATTTTGGAGCTAAGTTTGTTTCTCTATGTCACCTGGTTTAGAGCTTGGGTGGTGGGGTAGATTCCTTAACTTTATATAAGAATGCATTGGCAAAGAGAGATAACCATGACAGATGTTCCCATTGTAAACTGAATGCTGCTATGAGTCCCTTGGGATTAATTAGCTTCCATCACACCTACAACTTCCAAGAAGGTACGATCCAGAGAAAAGAAAATATAAATATAGTATTATCACAGCTTAGGAAAAAAAAGCGATGATATACTCAGCTTGTATATTGCAAGATGTGTAAAAAGTGAAAAAAATGATTATGAGAGTGTTATGATTTCACTTGAAATCCTAAAAAAAGAAATAGATTAAAATGAAGATTTTTTATGTCCATTTTTGTTAACTCTATGTTAATTCAAGAATATTATTAATTTTTAAGGTAATTGGTTAAAAAACCGATTTTATTCGTTAGTCTACCACTTTTCTACAAAAGTTTTGTCAAAAGTATTTTTGGTTTGCTTGGGTATCCATTTTTGAAGCCACTCGTCATAAAATCTGAGTAGGCTATTCGTTATCTGTCACTTTAAGCATAAAACCTTTTTCTGTACCGTTGTATACATAAATTTCAAAGCATGTATTTGACATTCTTGAAGGCTGGATTTTATTAACACAATGATTACATTGTTTAAATATACATTCAATGTTAACACTATGCCATAATATAAGAGATAAAACATTTTAGAATTTTGAATGTTCAAATTACGTTTGAAATCCTTACAAAAGCACAGTTGCTGTTGCAATTTTATCAATAAAGTCAATAGAATGACTACATTGACCAAGCCATGAGGCACATTCTACTTTCGTTTTTGATTTATCTCTCTACAGTAATATAACCTTTTGTCTGTTCTTCATGTTAATGAGAGTGTAGATACCAGGAACTAGATTTATATCTAGATTAAACGTTAACCATGTCATCATTTGTTGTGTTTTACAACTGAATTAACATTCAGAATTATTGCTTCTAGGCTATATCAGAAAAGATCACTCTTCATAAGGCTAAGTACACAGCCAATCAAAGCAAAATGATGAGCATGAAAAATATTTGAAGGTGTTTTTGTCTACTTCTTTGCAGTTAATATTTAATTATTGTAGTTTTTATTTAAGGCCATACATGAATTATATATTACATGAAATATATATATTATCGTTATAAATCCTAGCGTAAAACGAGGCGTGCGCAATGCTACCGCTTTTGACGTCTGAATCTCCCTATTTTTCATCACAGTAGGTTAACATGTATGCTATGTCATGATTACAGGTATCCTACACAAGGGAGATGGGAGTAACATTTACCTGAAGGAGAAGCCCCAGGAGCTGGTCTGTATCCTAGGTAACGGTATCCAGAGGAAGCTTGACTGTGCCATGTGTAACGGTGACGCCTCTAACAATCAGGTGCGAGCCCCGGTAGCCCTGGCCAGCGGCAGTGATGGAAGTCTGTATATCTGGGACGACAACTTCATCAGGAAACTCTCTCCAGGCAGAACAGAGATTGTCAGTATCCTCAAAACAGAGTAAGTGTCAGGACTCGGAATAGTGGGAAATTTTAAATTGTTATAGGTATTTCTGCATCATGTATACTGTATATTATTCACTTTGCTGTTCACAAAGTGAATTTTGAAACTCATATGTTTGTCTTAATCAAGTATTTTTCAATGATTTCTGTATTTAACTGTTTGTCTTTCTGTTACCTTATAGCTCTGTGTTTCACAAGACATATATGACAGTGAGTCCAGTGAATGGGAAGTTGTACATCTCTGACTACATGCATCACCGAGTCATCCAAATCGCCACCATGGGGCCTGTCCAGAATCTAGAGCAAAACTTCAAGGTCATTGCTGGGAATGGAGAGGAGTGTTCCACAGGACTGCTGGATGAGTGTGGGGACGGGGGACTGGCCATTCAGGCTAGACTGCTGGGACCTAAAGGTTAGTATTTATGCTGCACATTTATCAAATTTAGTATTGAAATGGTCAAAAATTTTATATTCATGTTCTTCAAATCAAAATTATGGGAAGATGATCAGAATGTTTCTGTTTTAAACATTCCCAATATGAATTTTATGATAAGTTAATGTCGGATTTTTTTACAACTGTGATTTTAAAAGGAAGCAATGTTCTGCTTGAAATATACATGAACCTTAGAAAGATTAATTATTTTGGCAGGTATTGCTATCAACAAGGAGGGAGTGATTTACATAGCAGACAACCTCAACATCAGGCAGATTTCTGCCACAGGGATTATCACAACTCTGATTGGCTCACACAACCAACTCAGAACACAGGAGCCTATGTCATGTGACCATAGCAGACCAGCCAGTCAGGTATGTACAGTCTCTAAATGTGGAGATGGGCAAGTGAAAACAATTGTTGACATTTTTCAGAAAATGTATAAGGTTAAGACAGAAAAAATATTCTTTAATGATTCTGATTTTGGCCTTTTAAAAGTTTGTCTTTGAAAGATGTGAAAAGAAAATTGTTTTGACTTGTAGGTTCAGCTTCACTGGCCCACAGCTCTGGCTATAGACCCACTGGACGACTCGCTCCACATTCTGGATAAAAACGTCATCCTGAAGCTGACCAAGGACAACTACATAGTGACCATCGCTGGCCGACCCAGTAACTGTCCAATCAGGAGCATCGGCTCTCTGTTATCTGGAATACTGTCCGATGAGGAGGAGGCTTCAGGAATCGCTGCTGAGGTCAGACTGGTGGACGCGCAGAGCATCACCTTCGGCCCTCACGGAGAAATCCACGTGGTGGAGAGTGACCAACACAGGATAAACCGAGTCCGCGTCATCACTTCTGATGGCAGGATCCATCACTTTGCTGGCTCTAAATCCAAGTGTGACTGCAAGTCCAAGACCTGTCTGTGTTATGATGCAAAGGAGACTTTAGCAGCCCAGGCACTGTTTAACTCCCTTACCTCTATCACTGTGACACCAGATGGCATTGTTCACATCGCAGACAATGGAAACTTACGTGTGTTTTCTATCATGTCTAAGCTTCCTCAACCAGATACTAACAACAAGTATAAGGTCTACTCTCCCGACACAAAGGAGATGTACATATTTAATGACCACGGTCAACATCAACAGACGGTGGACATCATGACCGGCCAGTACATGTATAACTTTACATACAATGTCAACTCCTTCTTCAGTAAGCTGGTGTCTGTCACTGATGACATCAAAAACATGATAGAGCTGACCCGCGACAGCAATCTGCAGGTCACCCAGGTCATCTCCCCCACCAACCAAAGATCCAAAGTGGAAATGAACAACTTACACCGACTTCAAAGATTTACGTCTCCCAATAACAACTCTGTGTCCTTTACGTATAAAGGAACCACGGGCTTACTGGAGTCTAAGTACCTCAGTAACGGTCAGAGTTACTTCTACAACTACAACGACAAGGGGCGACTGATGGAGACCCGACAACCTACAGGGGAGATAACCTCCCTAGTTACCGACATCAACACAACAGGGTCAATTGTCAGGGTCAACACAGACAGCAGTGATGTCATCTCCATGGCAACCTATGGCAGTGTGCAGTCAGTCATGCATGGCAAGTGTTTTAACCAGTTTTTATGTTGAGAAATCTTTTAACAGAACTTTAACAAATTTTCAACAACAAAAAGTTTTGTATGTTTGCTCATGTTTAAAAATTTAGAAATGTTTGAGAAGCTTTCTGTATGCATGAATCCTCTTTTTAATGTGATTTTTTTTCTGAATTTTACAGTGAAAATCTCTCAGGGTAATTTGCTTTTTCTTGACTAGCTTGATTCCGCAGGATACAGTTTCTAGCTGGCCGCTTTCTTGTCTATTTGTCTTGCTCTATCTTCAGAAACTTATAAAATGCCAGGAATAATTCTGCAGTGCTTATTAAAAGCTTTTGGTGGCTACCATTAGACTTCTCATCATCATAACATAACTACACATGTATATACAAGTATATATTCCTTACAGCATAATTCTGACATTTATATCAATTTGTTAACAACTGACATGAATGTATATTACATATGTATATTGGACATCCAATTTGGCTCATTCAGCAGCATGAATTGTCAGATAGATTCACATGAGGTTAGATTTAGCCAGTACACCATGACATGTCTATTTCTCGTGTGCGTGATCGTTAGTAGACAGTAGCTAGACTTAAATATTTGTTTTGTGATCGTTCTCTTTCGCTAGTACAATCTTTTTCTACCCCACAAAAAGTCTGAACTTTTTTCTCTATGAACAATATGAATTTTACCTTTTCTTCTTTAGACCAGTATAAAAATTTCAGAGCCTTTGAGATATATTTGTAAGATCTCCAAACACTGCTTATTCAGAATAATAACAAATATGCATGATATCCCTTTACACATATTTTATTTTCAAACTGAACTATTTATTATGGATTGGAATTTAATTTGATCTTTGATAATTTCTAGGGGCAGCAGAGACCCAGGTGACCTATTTACCAGATGGAGGGGTTGTGGTCATGTACCCCACCAACATGTCCATAACCATAGAATCTGGGGGACACCCGGTCCTGTCCAATCAACACAGGATGCACTTCAAGCGGAAGATCATCGGTCCAAACCAGCTGGTCCACAAACTGGAGTGGAGGTTCTACGCCCGTCGCCGGTACAGCCCGTCCTGTGGGCGTAAGACCCTGCAGAGACTGGGCAGTAAAATGAGGGTAGGGGAGTCCCGCCCGCATGTTAGCATGTCTGACTCGCCTGACATGTCCTCCAGAGGCGAGGCCAAAGCCCTCAGGGTATGTCTATATGTTCCTCTCTGTCACACCTCTCAGCAGTGCTATAGAGGGGAGGATCTGAGAATTTCTTGGGAGGGAGCAGTTGGTCAGGCTAAAAAAAAAGATGGGAAAAAATTCAGTTCATGAACTCTTTGAATATGTAGTGATAGTCTTATATATTTTTAATTTCCAAGGACATTTGGGTGGAGAATTTCTCAATATTAAATTGTAGAAAAATGATAATATGATTGCATTGAATTATTAGCACTGCTTTGAAGGTTATTAACTCCATCTTGTATATTCATAGATATTGGGTTACAGATAGCATGAAAATTCAGCAATATTTTGTGTACATCTTGAATACAATTTTGTCTTTCCTTCTTATTTTCATTATTATTTATTTTTTAGCATGTCCCTTAATTTTATTTTCTACCATTGAATATAACTTGCTGAACATATTAAATAATGCCATTATTTGTCAGGCCAATAAAAGCATGTCAAAAGCTATTTCAGATGTATCAAGTAAAGGACAATCATATATAATGTGATATTATTGGGAACCAAGAGTCCTTTGGCTTAATATATACTCAGGCTGTCTATATAAATCTTGCATAAAAACTGTAATAGGAAATAATATCAGGAAAAAATTACACAAAGAAGTTTCAAGTTACTCAGGCCAATAAAAAAAAAAGTGTTTTAAAAAAAATCAGTTGAAAAATTTTGAAAATTAGGCAATATTAAAATTTCTTTAAAATGTCAGACACACACTTGTTTAAAATTGTATGGACTTGGAAAATTCTGCAATTATTAATCATGAACATATTTATTATGTCCTCCTTTGAAGAAGGGAGGGCATATTGCTTTGCTGCTGTCTGTCTGTTTGTCGGTAGGTCAGTCTGTTGGTCCACCAAGTTTCTGTTCATTTTCTTTGCCCATAATAAAATGAAATTTGGTTTACAGATTTATCATAAGAATATCTAGGTCAAGTTCTGTTTTAGGTACGATCAAGCCATTTTGGACAGTTATGCCCCGTGGACTTAGAAAAATTTCAGTTATTTAGGGGGAGGGGGCATAAGTGTTTTACAAACATCTCTTGTTTATGCCATAATAAATAAATTGCTAGATTCTCATCCGAATTTTTTTAAAAATTGAGGCGTGCGGGCGGCGTTTATTTTATATTTTGTATTTTTTCAATTTTGCAGATTTTTTATTGAACTGGTCAATCTGTGTAATTTTATCTACAATACCCGAATAAAAGTCACAGTAAAGGTTCAATTATCTCTTACTTCACATCATCACCAATCTTTTTCAACCAATGACCCTTGTTTAAAATAAATACGCATGTATTACAGCAATTACCATCTTTTCAGCTGTCAAAATTATGTTGACTTTCGCGGGTTTTTAAACGAAAGTAGAATGGTAGATGAATACCGATCCAGATCAGAATTAAGACGAAGAAAAACAGAAATTAAAAAAATCGAGGCGGGGGTATAAAATCAGGGCGGGCGGGGATGAGAATCTAGGAATATTTTTATTATGGCTTTAATTATAGGTTTGCAAGTCTATTGATCCAGCTTTTATTTATGAAATAAAAAACGCAAAGATTTTATTAATTGTAATTTAAAGCTAGAAGAATTGTCAATGATTTTAATCCGTGTAATTATAATAAATGTTTACAGATAAATGGAGTGAATCTCTTGTCTGTGGAGTACGACCGTGTGAACCACACAGAAAGCATACTTAATAAAGACTCCCAGAACATCCTATGGATCATGTACGATGACAGCGGCCTGCCGGTCCAGTTCCTCCCATGTAGTGAGCATCACGCCATGAACATCACGTATAACCAGCGGGGACAAATCACGCACTGGCAGTACGGAGAGATGTGGGAGGATCTAACGTATAACAGGGACAAACTGCTGCTGGAGCGATCTAGATCGGGGACTGTCCAGTACAGATTTAACTACAGATACGGAAAGTCATTGGTAAATATCCTGTTTTGTTACTGAAAATGACAAAGAAAACGTAAAATGAGATTTTGATGTGAACTGGTTTCTGGTATTCAGTAAATCATGATGGAATGAATGTAAAATCTCAAAAAAATCTGTACCGGCAGTTCTGATATGTTTGTTTAAATATTATAAAATCAGAACAGTCATTAATTGAAAGAGCCTGACAAACATAAAGACATGTCTACAGTAAAGCAGTATTATTTCTGTTTTCAGCCTACAGACATTGTAATGCCCAGCGGTAAGCAGTACTACTTGGAGTATAACAGTCTTGGAGAACTGGAGAAGATTCGAACCCCTGACCTTGGTTACCACCATTTTAACCACATCACCTCTATTGGGAAGCAGCGGTATCTTTACCACATACCAGGACTGTCATACCCTTACTCTGAGGAATACGATGGCAATGGTAAACTCCTTATGGTGGTTTATCCCAGTGAACAGAGGCGCGTGGCTTACCGTTACAACAGCTATTCTCAACCCACGACGGTTCTTTTCGACGAGACACAGGTAGAACTGGAATACAACGAGCAGATCCTAAAACTGTCGCAGTCCACCATCTCCAGTGGACCCTATAGCTGTGTGGAGACCTACGCTTACTCCGGATCACTGGTGTCCAGCTACGACGTGACCTTCCCAAAAGACGATAAATTAATCACCGGGTCATTTTCCTACACCTATGATAATAACTTCAGGATAACAAAGATTGACGCAGGTTTCGGTGTGCACATTAATGGAACTAGCACTAGTTATACATATGATACCAACACAGGCAAACTTAAAACACTGGGTCCATTGAACTTAACATTTAGAACAATGTACGATTCAGAGACAATATCAGATAAGTTTGTAACAGTTACTCGCAGTTATGATAAATATGGACGGGTGGAGAACACAAAGTATCGATTTGATAGAGACGGTGTGCTGACATTAAAAGTAGGGTACGATGTCTACAACAGGATCCACAGGTGGCAAAGGAATGTTAATGGGGAAGAAATCAAATACATGTACATGTACGATAAGGACAGTAATATCATAGAAGTCTTTATTAATGGGCAGTCTGCCTGGAGATTTAGCTATAGTAATAACGGAAACATTAACCGCGTGACGGAGGATGGAATTCCAAAGGACCTGGAATATGACACAGGAGACCGGATTATCAAGTCCGGCAACAAACAGTACAAGTTTGACGAGGATGGATTCATGGCCAAGAGACACAATCAGGATCTCAAGTTTAATTCTAATGGACAGTTGATGTACGTGGCTAAAACTGGCAAATACCGCTACTTTTACTTCTATGACTCCTTTGGAAAATTAGTTCTCATGGAATCTAATGGTGGAGAAACAATGCAGTACTTCTACAGTGATGCTTCAAATCCTGATCGCATCACCCACACGTATAACAGAACCTCCTTAGAGGTCACGGAGTACATTTACGAGCCCAGCGGAAACCTAATAGCCATGAAGCGAGGTGGAGTGGTGTACTACATCGCTTGTGACCCCATGGGCTCCCCAATAGCGGTGATGAACAAACAAGGCCATATCATCAAGTCCATTGTGTATGATCCTCTGGGGAGGGTGGAGAATGACACCAATCCCAGTTTCGAGTTCAGTTTTGGATTCCAGGGAGGGTTGTACAATCCCGTTACAGAGCTGGTCATCTTTAGTAGCCGAGTCTACGACACAGATAATGGCCGCTGGCTGTCTCCCAGTTACAAGAACATCATCCACAACATCAAGAAAATCCTAGAGGCACCAGCACTGCTCAACAACTACAGATTCCAGTATCTGGTGAACACACACACAAAGACCTCCTACCCCATACTCTGTAAGTAGACAGTTTTAAAGGGTTGCATACTAAATTAAAATAATTAGTCTTCTTTATGAAAAAGATTTTTTATTCTAATGGAATAAGTTTATTTTTCAACTTTTTAACTATATTTTATAGAGAAAGCTGTACTTTCACTATAAGAAAATCTTATTTTTTTTAACTGAATATTCTGCATTCAAGATAAAGGATATAAATTTAATTGACACATTTTTCTTTTTCTCTAGCTGTAACTGAGTGGATGTCCATGCTGGGGTACGACATTAGGAGCCTGGCTCCGGACATATCGTACACGGGAGAAATTCGTCCAAAGAAGAAGGACACCGATCTCTCCTTACTGCCGACGTCCTCCGCCTTTGAGTGTACATTCCTTCAGGATATGGACAGCTTGCTGACCATGTCCATTGTTCCAAAGTCCAAACTATCACCACTGCAGACGAGGACAGATGTGCAATTCGCTGCTCTAGCAAGTATCTTTGGCGACGGAGTAACTCTGTCTTATCGTAATGGCCGTGTAGAGGTCGGGGTCATGGAGAAGACTCCTGATTGGTCGAAACAACTAGCCCTCGTGCTGGTGAATGGCTCGGAGATTCTCGACTTGCAGTATATTATCAATGGCAAGGACGTACATTATTTTGTGAAACCAGAAAGTTCTAAGGCGGCGGAGGATTTGAAAACTTTAGGAATCTATAATGATGAAATTCGATATGAGAATGGACTCAATGTGACAGTGAAGAGGCCTGCTCACAGAAGAACGGAGACGGACATCAAGCTTCATGGCAAGCATTCCATAATCAACATTAGATACGGCACAACGTTAGAACTCGAGAGGCAGCGAGTTCTCAGCCACGCCACAACTCGGGCAGTTAACCATGCCTGGAGGCGAGAAAAATGGATTCTACAAAACTCGCTCACATCGCAATATCAATGGACTTCATATGAAGTGAATGAAATTCTGACCCACGGATCAGCGAGGGGATACGAGGGTCGATACAGACAATCTCAAACCCCGACTCAATATCCCGAATTATCTGATGACTGTAACAGCATCAAACTCCAGAAAACCAACAGGTGATACACATAGACAATATCCTTGTTATCAATTTTGAGTTATTCCCAGTGAGGGTGCCAAACAATCAGCTGGAAAGATTCAGAGAAGGAAGATAATTCCTGATTTCTTATTGAAGCTGAAATTTATAATGATATCCCTAGCATCTCATAATGTGTTGTGATTACTTACACTAACAGACACAAATCAAATTGTGCCATGGAAACAAAATAAAATGATATGAATGTGCTTAGGCAAGAACGGATGGATTCTTGTGGTGCTACAGTGAGACTGAGTGAGAGTGTTATTGTTGATATACATGTGTGATGTCATAAAATATTTATTTATTATCCAATCAAAAGCATGGATACATGATCATTATCCAGTATCTAAGAATTGTATTCATGAAGAAGTTGTGAAATATTCCGGTAGGTATACTCCAGGAGGTGGTTTATCCAGGGGTACCCGATTGTACCCCAGAACGCCGTTTCCGTGGGTATTGACCTAATTAGACAGTGCTATTTGTGTATCAGTATTGTGGACTATGATACAAATGTTATTGGTCATATCAAAACTGCTGACATTTTCATACTTACATATACTAGTCACTTTCCATCATCACTGTTTTAACTTGTATATGCTGGTCACTATACCAAGCTGATGATCATGTGACTTAAAAAAAAAGATGTGTTTTCTCATCCAAATTTGCATGCACATATCTTTTGTTTTCTTTTTAAGTATCATATTTTGTAATATTTTAAACTGTCCACTTTTAAAAATGTTTACATGAAGTAATTTAACATTTTAAGGTATTTTTAACTAGGTAGAATTTTTGACAGGGTCAAGGATGACTGTAGACTGTTTTCCGCTACAGCTGTGCAATATTTTAGGAAATCAAACTTTCCTTCTTCCATTTGATGATGTTTTTGGAGTAATTGCTATGTTCTTTTCTGCAATCCTGAATGTTTGTGTATTTTTATGTGTTCCTATCAAACATTATTTTCCTTTGTATGTGTCAATACAAGGACTTGAACATGATTGAGTTCTTCCTCTACAATAAAGTCATAATTAAGAGAAACATTATATACATTTTGTCTTAAGATGGCAAGGCATGCCCTGTGTTTATAAAACAAATCTGTTCTTTTGTTTATAACTGTGATATGTGTTTTTGTTGCAGCAAACAAACTCGATCTGTTCACCAGTAATAAAACCTGAGCCCTTTATCTTCGTAAGATAGAAATCTGTTTCATGTTTTCATTTTTCTTTGTAACTTGTGCCAAACTTTATTTTTTAAGCTCTCTCAATGTAAACCTGTTAACTAGTCCCATTAACTAATTATCACTTTGACCATTGCAGAATAACTATAAACAGAGTGGCCATGAAATGATCTTAGTTATTCTGTCATGAGTATGTCATTTAGTGTCACAAATATATATGTCATAATAAACGTTACGAGACATAACCGTTTGTCTTATGATGTCATGAAGCAGTTCTGTCATTACTTGTATGTCTTATGATGTCATAAAGCAGTTCTGTCATTACATGTATGTGTTATGATGTCATAAAGCAGTTCTGTCATTACATGTATGTCTTATGATGTCATAAAGCAGTTCTGTCATTACATGTATGTCTTATGATGTCATAAAGCAGTTCTGTCATTACATGTATGTCTTATGATGTCATAAAGCAGTTCCTTATGCTTTCTGTACAGACTATATATATTATACAGTTAAGATACTCTTTATTGCTGTCTATAGGCTCTCCATTTACAAATTAAAAACAAATGAACTTATCAAGCTTTTTTTGTTATTTTGGTATACATATGAAACTATATTATATCAAGGATCAGAGGAAGTTGCATACCGGTAATTAGACCAGTAATTCCCTCAGCCAGAAAAGCTGGTCATGAGGTGGTTGCAGTACAGCTCTTGGCAGTCTGCCCCAGCAACCAGCCAATAAATTCTTGATCTGTCAAGATGTACTTGACAGCAAATGTAGTGGGTAGATGACCATGATGACCAAGTGATCCTGAGGTCAAAAGGTTACTAGTCTGCTCTTTTCTGTTTAAGTTCTACATAGTTATAGTGTATTCAAGATTGAAGTTAATATTTCAAATTGCCATTCTTTGTTACCCAAAAAAGGTACCCTTTGAATAGGAGGTTAATTTATCTGCTGCGACACCTCGTGCTTGGATCTTTCTAAACCGTTGAAATTGTATGGAAAGGGGGGGGGGGTTGATATTCCTTTTAAAAGCCCATATGTTCAATGGGATTTAGATCTGCGGATTTGGCAGGCCAGTGCATCAAATAGATGCTTTTTGTCAACATTTAGACCTTCCGTTAGCTTCTGTACCTGTCTATGGATGATTCAGACTGTTTATAACAATCTTTTAAGCTAGCTTTGATGCAAAACATTGGCCTCGGACGAAGATCTAGATCACTTCCAGTTTGGTTAAATTTTGTCCAAAGCTTTCAAATTGTGATAATTTGACGATAAAAAAATGACGCAAAACCTATCAAAAATGTGTTTAAATGGATTTTGATGCATGTTGTTTATTTTAATATCAAGGACAATTAAATGCTACAATAAAAGTGACTAAAACGTGTCTTGAGTATGATCCAGATATCAACATTCCAATAGCTCTTGCTTCTTCCTCAATGACCATTTCGCCCATGTTTTGTGTTTTTTTTAGCTATACCAATTGTTAAAATTGATAATGGTCATAAAAAGAAGCTGATAACACAAAACACGTGCCGCAAAGTACAGATTTATTGTTTTTAAGTTTCGTCACGGGACATTGGGTTTCTTCGGTGATAATTAATTTTCTTTCAACAATTGTTGAGAAGACTCGTTTGTTGAAATAATTTGAAAATATTCTACCATTCTATCGCGTAGTTTTTTAATAAATGCATTTATTAGAGTGAACACTTGGAAGTGTTCTTAAGTGTAAGTTTACATTATTATAAAAGTTAAGCACATGCTTAAGTATTTCCTCTCCAAATTACGTTCATGCAGGAAAAAATGAATACATTATGGATACAACGCAGACAGTCTAAAACTTTTGTCATTTCTCATAGCTGTCTCGTGTTCGTTAGTGGAACATGAATGTCGTTCACTTTTTTAAGAACTCTTTTTGTACACATAAATTCTTTTTTTCCCTTTCCAGCTCTGATAAAAAGCATCTCTTATCGTGTCCTCGGGAATGGGGACGTCACATTCGAAGTGTACCTCGGCGATAGTTGAATTCTTGGAAATGTTTCCATGGGCGATAGTTGTATTCTTATTCAGTTGTATCTGAATGTTGGCAAAATGTACCTGGGGTATACCGGCATGAAATGTATTCGTACGGGAACTCTGTAGGTCGATTCGCAGTCCTAAATCAGAATTGTAATCCTTTAAAGAATTCTTCTTTTTCCCATCAACAAGTGTTGTAGGACCTGGACCAGCCTTGCAAAATGTATACGACTCATCTTTTCCCAGAAGTCGAATTATTGCAGTATTTACTGGCTTTGCAAAATTCTCGTCCCGATCCTTGGGGCTTTTGTAGAAATCGCTAGTAGCATCTTCTAAAGTATTTATTTGAAATTCAGTTTTTACTTTTTCCATTTCTTATATGCAACTCATATATCCAATACTTTAAGATTCTGTTTTAAATACTGCTGGTTACTACTTGTGAAGCACTATAATTTATGTTTGCTGCATGTATAGTATGGAGGACTTTGATTGTCATTTACATACACATGTACATTGTACATACACTGTAGCGAGACGAGCTAAAATCATTTGAAATTAAAGGTTTGGTGAGAAAAAAAACACTTCAGAACATTTTAAGCTCACCTGAGCCGAAGGCTCAAGTGAGCTTTTCTGATCACATTTTGTCCGTCGTCCGTCCATCCGTCTGTAAACTTTTCACATTTTCGACTTCTTCTCAAGAACCACTGGGCCAATTCTGACCAAACATGGTACAAAGCATCCTTGGGTGAAGGGGAATATAAATTGTTAAAATGAAGGGCCAAGTCCCCTCACAAGGGGAGATAATCAAAAAAAGACAAAAATAGGGTGGGGTCATTAAAAAATCTTCTTCTCAAGAACCACTGGGCCAATAAAGCTGTAACTTATGTGGAAGCATCCTGGGGTAGTGTAGATTCTAAATTGTTCAAATCATGACCCCCGGGGGTTGGGCGGGGCAACAATGGGGAATCAAAGTTTTACATAGAAATATATAGGAAAAATCTTTAAAAATCTTCTTCTCAAGAACCACTGGGCCAGAAAAGCTGAAACTTATGTGGAAGCATCCTGGGGCAGTGTAGATTCTAAATTGTTCAAACCATGACCCCCGGGGGTAGGGTGGGGTCACAATGGGGAATCAATGTTTTACATAGAAATATATAGGAAAAATCTTTGAAAATCTTCTTCTCATGAACCACAGGGCAAGAAAAGCTAAAACTTATGTGGAAGCATCCTAGGGAAGTGTAGATTCTAAATTGTTCAAATCATGACCGCCGGGGTAGGGTGGGGCCACAATGGGGAATCAATGTTTTACATAGAAATATATAGGAAAAATCTTTGAAAATCTTCTTCTCATGAACCACTGGGCCAGAAAAGCTGAAACTTATGTGGAAGCACGCTGGGTAGTGTAGATTGTAAACTGTTCAAATCATGACCCCCGGGGGTAGGGCAGGGTCACAATAGGATATCAAATTTTTATATAGAAATATATAGGAAAAATCTTTAAAAATCTTCTTCTCAAGAACCACTGGACCAGAAAAGCTAAAACTTATGTGGAAGCATCCTGAGGTAGTGTAGATTTCAAATTGTTTAAATTATGATCATTGGGGTAGGTTGGGGTCACAATATGTATTACAAGGGGGAGGTCTGGTAAAAAACAGAATGGTCAAAGATTCTCAGGTGAGCGATGTGGTCCATGGGCCTCTTGTTTTCTGTTTAAATTTACATTTAATGTAAAATTATAACTTACTCTTTAGTCTTCAAATAAACATTTTGTATGAATAACAGACTATAATGGTGAATATTGAATTCCTTGACTACAATACATACTACATGTCATGATGTGTGCTCAAATTTCTGTGATGATTTTTCAAGAGTGAAAGAGCCTTAGAAGGTGTGTATGTATGTGTCTCCAGCAGCTATAGACTGAATATGCTGTGTACACTTGTAAGCTCAAAAATAAAAAAATAATTTAAACACATTACAGCTAGTAGTGCTTGTTACCCACTCACAACGGAATTGGAGAGGATATAGCATGCAACTGTGTGTTCGTTTGCTGGTGAGTGAGATAATGCTGTGCATAACGGAAGCAATATAATATGCATCGGGGTCAATGTCATTTTTTAGATATGCTCTTTGCGAGGGGATGCTCTGTTTTGCGATGTCCTTGTTATATATACATTATTTTCCCCAGCAGAAATTTAATAAATAATTTTTTCAATGCATACATGTATGCTACTCAGAGACTATTGCTGTACTTTTATGCATACATGTAGTTTGTTTTGTGACAAACTGCCTCTCATACATTAAAAATCAACCCATATAAGGAAAAAATATATTCAGAGTTCTGGGAAACATTAGTTTTAAATAGTTTAAGGCTGATTCTAAGTTTAAAAAATCTTTTTTAAAAATACCCTGCTTATATATCTTTCAGAGTGCTTGAAAAATGGATATCTCCTAACCTTTATTTTTGGATCACAAAAGTGGTTGCTCTCCACCTCACTAGAAAAAAAATACTTATATATATTACATACTGCTATTCTTGATCCTAAAATATACTTTTTATATACTAGTATGCATTGCAGCTCAATGCTGTTGATCTTCCTCGTTTTCTCAAATAAATTAGTACCTAAATTAGAACCACTTCAGTAAAACCTTTAAAAAGATAAGTAATTTTAAATGGATGTCACTTTATAGGAACACAACTATATAACGGCTAATTTATAAATTAGCAGCACATACATACATTTTTATGCCTCCGGGTCAAAAGATCCCGGAGGTATGTTGTTTTCTTTCTTTTCAATCTTTTTGATGGGTCTTGCATCATAGTACGTACAAGAAAAGATTTTTTTCTATATATATATATAGGATGGTGTATTTTGCGCACTCTTTTTATATACAGTAACATGAAATTTTTAAATCGCGCCAATTTTAGCGATTTAAAAAAAAAATTATTGTCCTAAAAGTATTCAGAAAATTTAGAAAAGCACATAATATACAAAATACACCATCCTGAAACCAAGCGAATATGTATCCAACAAGTAAAATTGATGCAAATCATCAAATTGACCGCAAACAAAATATAACATTTCAAAATGTACTTTCACATGTATATCTCCTCCAATTCCATTGCCAGGGGATAATAAACTTTGCTCTGCATCGTGTGATAAACTGGAATTGAGAAGTGATAGTAGATACAAACATCTATATTTGATAGTATTGTTTTGTTGCCTATTAGAATGTTTAAGAAATACACTTGTACCAAAGTAAATTCACAGCTCTGCGGTACTTATTACTGGAACCTTATTTTTATAATTTCCTTGGGATTTTTCTCTTTTTCAGGGGGGGGGGGGTCAGTAAGAGGGGGAAAATAACCTGGGCTAGCTTTATGTACTTTGTAAATATTTAATTACATCTATACTTAGTCTCTTACACATATAAAAATCTTTAAAGAAGACCCTGGTGAAAACCAGGAGTAACAAACAATATCACATTATATCTCCAACACTCAATAAATAATGCAAAAAAGTTGTTAGTACATTTCAAACTCATGTAATGTATATGGCACCATTAAAAATGTAAATTAATACATATAAATGGTTGTCAATCAAAATAAACACATGTATTGTTGGACACAAGTATAATTTGAGATTAGCTGAATACAATTTTTATTGGTGTTGCCTATCATAACCTGTATGTAATGATTATTTATAGCAAGGGTGTACTATGTATGCATAGTAATGTATAAAGAAACAAACATTTTGTTGAAATACTTATACACTATTCTGAATTTATATCTAACTACCAACACTTTAAGTCTGGTAAACTTTTAAAGTGACATTCATACATGTATATCAATTGTTCAATAAATATAAAAACAGAACTAGAAAAAACATTATAAGATTGTATATAAATTCAGGGAGCCAATGTCATTCATCTACATAAATCACCACAAAGAATATGAAAAAATATTGTCATTAATTGTAATCAATCAGAAGACATGGCAAGGTAATCAATAACCCCATCAAAATGTTCACCGTTTCTTATCTCCCCTTAAAAATTAGGATAGTATGCCAGGCCCTTTATTTGACAAATTTGAATCTCTTTTACCCAGGGATGCTTTGTGGCAAGTTTGATTGAAATCGGTCCTGTCCTTTTGGAGAGAAGTTGAAAACATCAAGGTGAAATGTTTACATAAAACAGATGGCACACAACAGATGGGGTACTTCTGAGTCAGAAAAGTTCACTTGAGTTTGGCTCAGGTGAGCTAAAAAGTGTCATCAAAAGATATCAACTTTCATCCTCAGTGACAATAAAAGAATTCCAAGTATGCGCATTTTCGAATCCATTCCTCCCAAACTGATAATCCTTTCTGGCCTGGTGAAGTTCCTCCTCTGAAGACATGACAAAGGGACCTACATAAATCACAAACAAGGTTACAAGTCGGTTACAGAGTCCACTTAGTACCGATTCTTCACATAATCAGACTGCCATTTAGGGGCATTCTCAAAACCATTTTTCCCCGACTGATAGTCACGAAAAGTCTGTTGTAACTCATCTTGAGAGTTCATAACAAAAGGCCCTGGGGGAACAAAACAGACTCATAATCACACAGCAAAACACATCTGACGAAGGTCTATAATATTTTTTAACTATTTATTTTAAATATTAAATTCAACCTTACTTTGTATCTTCTCAAAGACAAATGACTTACCATACTGAAAAACAGGCTCTTTGATTGGTTCTCCAGCAATCATTACTAAATGACATTCTGTTGACCCCTAAAATGTTTGTAAAATATCTTGCAATATTGATTATATGACAAATTTTCAGTTATAATTGACCAAATTTTGGTAAGAATTATTTCCCTCAGTAATTTTATATCATGACTTGTGCAATCTGTAAATAATCTCTGTATTATCTCTATTTATATCTCTATTTGCTGACAACAGCTTACCGAGTTCTCGACCTGTATACTGTCTCCGTCGTCGTTGAAGGTCACTGTGTGATGAGCTTCATGTTCCTTCTGATTTCCTGCTGGACCTGTAACCATAGCAACATCATCTACTTAAATGTGTTACCATTACAATCTGATTTAATTTGTGTAACCATAGCAACATTATCTAATTTGATGTATGGATAAGTTGGGGAATGCATCATTTAAAAAGTACAAAGTGCAAAACTTGTATGCTTATAAATGTTTTTTTTTTATGGATGGGACAATATTCTGACAATTTTCACTGATATAAAAGAAGTGTTTTTTTTTAATTGTTAAAGTATAAATTAACTAGAAAAAACCCAAAATAGTTCATAAAGTGCTGAAAATATTGCAATGTTTATCATTGTGTTATATGTATTATTTGATTCGTTTTAAAGAAAATATTTTGTCATCATGCCCATTATTAATTTGAAGAAATAAAACCTTTTTAACTAGATGTACTGTTCCTATTAAGTAACAGCCTACTTATCCAAATCTAACCTTCAACATTAATCAATATATGTGGGTCTTGCCAACGTACCAAACTTGGCTTTGCCAGACAGGATGTACAAGAAAGACCTCCAGCCAGAAGGAATTGGTTGTTCTAGTTTAGATCCAGGATCCAGCTTAAAGTCTAGATACATTGTAGGGGTGCGTGTGTATACCTTAGACTATAACAATCATAAGAAAAAACAAAGTCCAGATAAATTACTGATAGGAGAATAAGAGCATACTCTAAAAGATTGGAGCTCTAGTAAACATTTGAACTATTTAAAATGTTAAAAATTTACATGTCAATGTGTCGAAATATGAATGTTGTTTTCACTTTAATTTGACATTTTTCTATAATTTACTTTTATGCCAAAAGCTTCCCCAGCAATGACCTTGACCGTGACCCCATTTTTGGTTGTCCTTGGGATGTCCTTGTCCTTCAGCTCCTGATAAGCTGGTTCAATCATTTTGTATTTCTTGGCCAGGTTGACCCAGAGCTGTAGTCCGTGTACCTCCCCCTCTCCATGTGGCATCTCGCAATGTACAATTCCTCGGCCAGCTGTCATCCACTGTATCATACGTGATCATTTTTAATTACTTCATAGTGAACATAAAAAATGTCAGGAGGGCTTTATTGTAAACAGTTATAATATGATCCCTCGATCTTGTATTATCAATGTGTTTGAATGTAGAAGTGCTGGGCAGATTATACAAAGTGAAGTAAAACCAGAACTCATCTTTATATTCACTGGTTTTCCTTTTACCTGTAAATCTCCATCCTGAATTATCCCCTTGTGACCACAAAAGTCTTCATGTCTCATTGACCCTTTCAAGACATATGTGACCTACAACACAAAATATTCACTTAGAAATGTATGTGACCTATCACAGTAAATATTCACTTAGAAATGTATGTGACCTACAACAATAAATATTCGCACAGAAACATGCGTATCCATGATATTACATAAAAATATTTACTTAGAATTCTGAGACAACAATGAAATTGATGGAAGACAAACAACATTGAAAATATTCACTCTTAATACCATTATCCATCTCTTAACAAATATTGTAATGTGAAAACATACTGTCTCAAATCCTCTGTGTGGATGGTCAGGGAATCCCCCTGGTGCCTTTCCTTTGAATTCATCCAGCATCAGGAATGGGTCAAAATTTTTCAACTGAAAATATTGTAGTTTGTACAAAGCTGATGTGAAGGGTTATCAAATGAAGTCTTAATTTTTGAAAAATCTCTTTTAAAAAGAACAGATAAGAATTAACTCCAGAGCTTTAGTGTTATACTACTGTGATGATACCTCTGGCCTCCCTATGCTTCGCCGGACTCTTGCCCCCACTCCCTCATCCTGCTCCACCGACAGTACCGCCTTCTGTACCGTCCTCCCCTTCATACTGGATACTGCTCGGGATGATATCCAACACGTCTGGTTAGAAAATCCAAATGGATTGAACTGCTGACAATTTCTCCTGAGATGACTACTAGACGTAGTTTTAAAACTTCCAAGTAGCGCTGATAGTGTGCAGGTCACAATACTGTATCTACTCAGCATTCAGGGAACTGGAAAATTTATATGGTTACAATCAGTTCACTCATCTTTATCTACTAGTATCTATATAATAGATATTACCTGGCAATTAACATTGTTTAACAGTTGTCAAAATCATACTGTAATCAAATGAATAAAATGAAAGTTGATCATTTTCTAGAAAAGAAACCATACAGTGCTTCTACTTTGTTATCAGTTTATATTTACCTCGAGCTCGCAGTACACTGGCCTTATAAATACACATAGATTAATATAAGATCAAATCAATTTTGATTAATTGTGAAAAAATATTTATGGCATACAAAAGCTCCTGCTTATATACATAGCCTGTTGTTTGGATTGTCAATATTTAGAACATTCCACAATGACATAGCAGTATTTAAAAAGTTTACGTAACATGTTATATCAAATATCAATGTTGATTTAGCAGTCACTTGCAATATAATGCCCGTGCACAGTTAATATTTAAACAGAAAATTCGAATGATTTAAGAATTTGCGTGTTACTGTTAACAGCAAGTCCACAAACATGAAAATTCCTTGGGACAGACTGCCGCTACATTTGTAAACAAACCAATGTTTTATTTTCTTATTTCTAATTACAGGAGAGTTCCGATTCGAGAGGCGGATCTTGCGTGACTGTGCATTATCAAAGATTGTGTTAAGACAATCATAAAATTTCCTAGGTTTTAAATATTTAAAAGACTTTTTGACCTTTATCTTTGACTCACTTTAAAAAAAAATAACATTGGACATATATTTCAAAGGCGCCGGAACTGGGAAGGAGGGGGGGGGGGAGTCTTTCAACTTTTTCATGACAATTATATTGTTGAATTTTCCTTCCTAATTAAGATCAATTAAAACAGAGATACAATTATCTGAGTTCTCAAATTTTATTCTTATTACGTACACAATCAACAAGTGAAAGTAAAGTAAAAAAAAATATTAACAATATTATAATTTTAAAAATGCTATTCATGCATGTAAAATATACAATAGTGTCTTTCTCTTTCCCTCTCTTCAGAATATGACTTATAAAAAATGTAACTTGCATGAGTTTCACACCTCAAATGTATACGTGGAAATTTTCAGAAATAAAATTCTCATGAGAACCATTTGCTTGCTGATTGTCACAATCAAGAAACTAACATTTTTCAGCTCTAACATTTGTACAGTAAAACTTTTGTAATCCAAATGTTGTGTATTCCAGAATCTTGCCTAATACGATATAAACTTTATGTCCCTCTCAGAAATTTAAATTATTAATAATTATTACAATGTTGTCTAATCCTGAATGTTTTATAATCTAACAGATTTCTTTGGAACCAGTGATTGTCGAATTAGAGAAGTTTTACTGCACTTCTCTTTCTAACATACAAAACCAATAACATTTTACATTGAAGCATTTTTAATACTAAAATACAATAATAACAACTGAGAAGTTAATGTTCTTCATTAGAAAATAAACATCTAATGATGTTTTTCCTCCAATTGATAATACAATTAGTATACATATGAGTCAGGTATTAAATTGTCATGGTTGTCATTTGACTAAATGTATCAATGAGCACTTCATTCCTTCCTGTTCACTGAAGGACATATCTTAACACACCTCCTAAGTGAGATCATTAGTCAACTTATGTTTGATTTGAGATTCCTCATATAATCGGACTGCCATTTTGAGGCCTTCTCAAATCCACTCCCTCCTGACTGAAAGTCACGATATGCCTGCTGGGTTTCTTCTAGCGAGTTCATAACAAAAGGTCCTGGAGGTTGAAATGTTATAAATTATGATATAAAGAAAAACAACAGAAAATGGACATTTTTTTCAGGGATGGATGAACAGATCAATTATTTGAACTGATTAATGTTTGAGCCTGTTATCTAGAAATGGCCATTTTTTAAATTACCTCAATTTCAAGCAATATACCCCTTGCAAAATATAATGGTTTATATAAAGTGTTTTATAACTACAATAAGTCACATGACTTACCCTGCTGATAAACAGGTTCTTTGATTGGTTCTCCAGCAACCATAACTAAATGACATTCCGTTGCTCCCTGAAATATCAAATTAATCTTAGAATTAATGAGATTAAAGCTTAAACAATACTTTACTACCACCTGCTCCAACAAATTTTGACACTATGCATTCACAGAATTTGATTCTTTATTCCATGAATCAGAGGATGATTATAGTTAGCCTACAATCAGTATTCACACTGGAAGCTGTTGGATACCCCCTCCCCTCCAACTTCTAACCCCTCTCTTCCAAAAACAGATAGAAGATGAAGCCTGTAGCCTCCTCCCACCTGTTTCGTTTTACTGCTATGGTTTATAGTTTTTGGCCTGTACATCCGTCTGTTTGTTCGCAAAAACTTAAACCTTCCCAGCCAATAACTTTTTAGTGGGCAGAGCCATGGCTTTGACATACATGCCAACTTTCCCGATTTAGGCGGGATCCTCCCGATTTTACCCTTTCATCCCGCCTTCCCGATCGGGAAAGCAAAATTGCCCTTATTTCCCGATTTGAAAAAAAAATCACCAAAATTTTCGATTTTAAAAGTAATTCCCTACCGCTGAATTTTGACAATCGGGATAACAATGTCAGACTTGTTTATTCAATGCACACAGATAAGTTTCATTGTTTATTTAACCAGATGTTAATTAGGCCTAGACACAGGAAATCACTTCACGCTTGAACGCACGAAGTTGTCCACTGGAGCAAGAAGCTTATAGCTTGGGGCAATTAGGGGATTATCTTGTTAGTTTTAAAGGGTATGCAAGGTGAAACACATAGATTAACAAGATAGTTGTTTGTCATTTTATTAAAAATATAAATTAAAGACAATAAAATGCAAATCAAACAATAAAAACGGAATCCAAAGAGATCGTTTTTTGAAAACGAAAGTAGAAAACTAATAAAGCATAGCTGCTGATTTTATCTACCTATAATGAAAAATATTGTAAAGTTTGCCAGTTAAAATATTATTAAAAATTAAGATGAAACAATCAAGTGTATGTCAATTAGAATTTCTTTTCCCTCCCTTCTCCCAAAAGTAATATGTTAGGTAGATCTATGTGCATGACTTAAGGAAATACCCACATGGCACCATCAAGCCTGACAAATTTCATGACTGTAAAAAAAAATAATTCTGTTTTGGATAGGTGGTATAAATTTCTGTAAATTTAATATCTTATTAGAATTTCTAATTAATTGAAATATAAATAAAAAATGTTTCTAGAAACAGGACTTTACATTATCAACACCTCATTTATTTTTAGCCTTTGAAAAAAATGATTTTAAAGTTGTACAATTTTCAATTTTTCACTAAATTCTGTCCTGGTAGAAAAAAAGTTGTTTATATATGTAACTAAATACCCCTTCTTTAGTGAGAGAGGCACCAGTATTTTAGCAAAAATATTTCAATTTTGGAAAGAAAAACATTTTTTGTGGTAAATTAATCCTTGAGTTTTATTGATAAGTGATATCAATATTATAAATAAAAAAAAAATCATTTCATAATCATTTAATTTCACGACAAAATGTCGCGAATTTAAAGCTTTGAAAATTGTTGTCACGCGCTAAATCCCCCATGGGAATTTTCAAAAGTTGGCATGTATGCTTTGATATTACACAGGTGTATTCCTTGTGACAAGACCTTTCTTAAAGTACCACCAAATTTGACCTCTTGACCTTAACCTTGGAGTCTGACCCACTTTCACTTAAATTTTCCAAACTTTAACCTTTGCCTTAACTTTTGAATAATTGGTGCTAGGGCTTTCATACTTCATATGTATATTCATTGTGACAGGACTTTTTTAATTGGTATCCCTGAGTGATTAACATCATCAGCTTACAGAGTTCTCTACACGTATACTGTCCCCTCCCTCGTCCTCGAAGGTCACCAGGTGATGAGCCTCATGCTCCTCCTGACTTCCTGCTGGACCTGTAACCATAGAAACATTTTGTAATTAAAGGTCAAGATATAAAAATGTAAACATGGATTTGTTTACAATTTTGAAAAATATGGTGTTTGCAAGAGTTAATTTATAATTTTGAAATATCCTGTTGTTACAACCCTTATCCAGTTCATTTACAAGTATATTGCAATGTTTATTTTATACTTTTCTGTCTTTATGTATTATCTTGTCAGATTTCTTTGGATTTAAGTGTATAGTGAATTACATGAACCAGCCTACCAAACTTGGCTTTGCCAGACAGGATGTACAAGAAAGACCTCCAGCCAGCAGGAATTGGTTGTTCCAGTTTAGATCCAGGATCCAGCTTAAAGTCCAGATACATCGTAGGGGTGTGAGTGTATACCTTAGACTAAAAGAATTATACTGGGTAAAGATACATATGGCAAAATTCAACATATTGGCTTAAGACCTAAAGTATGCATTATCCACTACAAGTCTTTTGAAAAACAAAATAAATACATATCTGGAATATACATATGTTTAAATATACAGTATTTACCATGTCACTGTATTTAATGTACATAAAATTTTCTTATTAATAAGAGTTGTTCATCTCTGAATAAAATATAACACTGTCATGGGTCATTCTATTACTTTTATTCCAAATGCTTCCCCAGCCAGGACCTTGACTTTGACCCCATCTTTGGATGTCCTTGGAATGTCCTTGTCCAGCAGTTCCTGAAGGGCTGGCTCCCCCATTTTTTCTTTCTTAGCTAAATTGACCCAGAGCTGTAGTCCATGTACCTCTTCCTCCCCATGGGGCATCTCACAGTGGACAATTCCCCGGCCAGCTGTCATCCACTAAATGTATTAACACAAAGTCACTAATAACTTCATGCATCACTCATAATAATCTAATACATGTACAACTAACATTAGATCACAGATAACTGCAAGTCTCACTGAAAATCTGTACAACACATCTGAGGGTGATGAAAGGATTTTCTGCAAGTTTAGTTATTTCTATGAGAGGCATATTATTAAATTAAAAAAAATAATTATGTGGATGGCAGTGTGGGTCGGCTTGGTAAATAGATTAAATACAAATGTTTGGTATGTCTCAATTAAGTTTGGATACCAGGAGAAAACCTCATTGCTTATCTTAAGGGGAGCAAGTCTTTTACATAGGTATGTCAGATGCAGTATCAGACTTAACATTTACAGACACACCCCTTACAGTTTAGATACTGATGTGAGTCACATGCCTAGACCTGGGGTTTCTCATCCCAAGTTACTGGCACAAACTCAGTATGTATCACTGCACATCATATCTGCAAGTTTGGCTTGAAGTTAAATACCCCTTAAATCAAATATGGACTTACAAACGTACACTATAAGTTTAAAAGACAGTCAGACAGACAGATAAGTGGATGGACACAGTGATGTCTGTATACCCTTCTCTCACGCAATGTGTAGTACATGTATATATAAAGTATATATATACACACAGGACTGATCTTTTTACCTGTACTTACCTGTATACACCTTTGACTTATTCTTACCTGTAAGTCCCCAGGATGAAGTAGCCCTTTGTGACCACAGGAATCCTCATATTCAATACCTCCTTTCAGAACATAGGTGACCTACATAGGTAAAGCATTTTAGTTTGGTATAATCTAATTTATAAAACAAGCAGGATTCTATGAAAAATTGGTATTCTAGTCAGAGTGTAAGAAACTTCAAACAAACCGCCTCAAATCCTCTGTGTGGATGATCTGGCATTCCGTCCGATAACTTGTCTGTGAATTCATCAAACAACAGGAATGGATCAAAAGTTTTCAACTAAAAAATAAATCACAAAAGAAATGACACCGACTTTCTAGGAAAAATTATCCATCTCAAGTTTAAAATACATTTTTAGAGTAATGGTTCAGATGTTAATTGTATACGTGATATTTAGCAGTATATTCACTGACCTGATGTCTTTTAAAATATAACCTTTAAAGAACAAAACTTTTACATCTGTACAACAAACTCAAACTTTAACCATTCAAACCATAGGTTTTCAATTTGTAGCAAACATACTGTTCCACTTTCGTATTTCTTGATGACCTTGATCTTTGAAATGTGACCTGTTATTAAGGTCATTGCACACATTTTACATGTAGGTCATCAATAACAAATACACAAAATTAAAGTTTGATGCTTTCAATAAGAATAAGACAAAAAAATTAGCACATATATAATTTTATTGTCCCCCACTTTCACCAGTGAAGCAATCACTAAGTCTTGGTAAATCTCATTTGTCTGTCAATCTTGGTAATATCTTATAAATGAGAAGAGATAGGGCTTTCATATGTCACATGTACATTATCTGAGACAAGACCTTTCCCAATATTTCATGATTCTTTAACCTCATGACCTTGACATTTGACCTACTTTTCCAAAAATTTAAGCATTACTAAAGGTCAAAGCTTTTGAAAGAAAAACTTAATATAATGCTTTTATAGTAAAACTTTTATGTGATAAGACCTTTGTAAATATAGTACGATTATTACCCTAGCTGTGATCTTGACCTTGATGTTTGACCTACTGTTCAAAAATGTCATCTTTCCGTGAAACTTTTGATTGAGAAGAGATAGGGCTTTCATATTTGACATGTGCATCTGTTTTCGAGCACGATATGATCCCAATCAATAAGACATCGAAAGGGGGTATCTCAGTTGTTTGATTATTGCTTGAATCGGGGAGACTGGCGTACGGAATCTCCCCTGCTGCAGGAGACACAAAAAGACTAGAGGCCTACAGGATTACCTCTGGTTTTCCTACACTCCGTCTGACTTTTGCTCCGGGTCCTACATCCTCCTCCACCGTCAGTAAAGCCTTTGATGCGATCTTAGCCTTCATTTGTTGAGAACATAGCATAGATTAATTAATCACAAACTTGTTTTGATTGACTATTGTTGATGTCAACATTTTGGAGACCTTTCATTGTTTCCAACCCAGAAGAGCGGTTTATGCAAGGGGCGGATCAAAAAAAAAATATTGGGATGAATGTCAGGTCTTTTCTATTTGTACATTGTTTCATAAAGATTTTAATCATAATATATATTCAGATTTTATTTTCATTTTAAATAGGTTATTGGTAAATGAAAATAAAATGCAGTGGTTTTTCTGTAAAAGTGCAAGTTAATTTTTACACAAGTACAATGTCTATTGTGACATTTTTGTGAAGCTTTAGATACAACCTGGGAATGAACATTTCTGAATAAAAAAACTGTACAATCTGACATTGAGAAAATTTTAGAAGCACCTAAAGGCTGAAGTCATTTAATATAGCAGTGTGCATCATTTATGCAAGAATTACTGAATATAAAGGGAAATTTTTGCCCCCGTTTTATTTTCGCCTCTTTCGCCTGCGTCACAAGAGGGTGAATTTAAAACAGGGCAAATTCAAAGAAAACAGTATAAATTCTTAAAGAACTGGGACTGGGCGAATTTAAAACGGGGCAAATTTGTAAACATGTGTAAA